GCTACGGTTGCCTCACACAACTCCAATATAAAGATAGGAAACTAATTAATCTTAATGACTTTGGTTGCCTAGATTTGCTTCTCCAGTGTGTGCATCCAGTTGTTTCTTGGATACCAAGCCGATATCTTGACCCAGCTTCCCTCCTTGCACTTTGTCAGTCAAAAGAATAATTCCTGCAAAGTCAGCAGATTCTGTATCTTGACATCTGAATGCTGCTTAAAGGGACTAAGGAAGTAGCCTGACTCATAAGCACATGTATAGCCTCATGCTGTGATCTTCACAGCAGTGTTGCCAAAACTTGTTCTTATATTTCCTGGCTGCTGATAAGATAGTTGCAGTTTCTGTGAATATTGGGTATGAGATAAAGCAGTAACCTTTGATCTAACACTCAAAGTCCTCTTCCTTTTCAACATGCAAGCAAATCAAATAATTACACAAGAGTCTATTTATGATAGCTCAGCAAGTGGCCACCATATTTTACTGATAGGTGTGTTATTGGTTAGGATTGCTACTCCCTTTCACATGGCACTTAATCCCCAGACAGTTTAATTGTCCCCGATTGTTGTACTTTTATTTGGGGATGGGCGCTAGAGTTTGTTTCTATATTTTCAAGCAACAGTGTGAGAAAAAAGCATTACTTAAGCTCCAGTTAAGTCAAATACAGAATCATTCAAACTTAAAATGAAGAGTTTTCTGTAAAACATTATGCAAGATAAAGATGTCTAGGAATACGTCTCTGACTTGGAGACCTAATGGCTTTGGAGTACATATGTGAATTCCAGAACAGGACCAGCTTTAAGATAATTAATAGGACTCAGTGTGTACACAGAGGGGCATATTATAATTTTACAAGCTCTGCCAGATCAGCCTGATTTTGCTGTCATGACTACCTGTAAGGGTGATACTAGTACCACGTGGCCTGCAGCTACAAGAATATGCAAAGATGTAAATGCACTATTCTGCTCTGGAAAATTTTCTTATAAAGACCCTTCACATGTATGCTGCCAGAAACTGGAACATCCTGAGGTCTAATGCACTGGAAACCAAAGGACAGCCCTGCTAGAAGTGTAGAGTTTAAAAAAGAACTGAGAATGTATCCTGGTACTGAATTTTCAGATACTAAAATATAGCAGTTGAGGACATCTTTCCACATTTTCTGTACCTCACTGAAAATTCCGAATGTTATGTGGGCTGTTTGAATTGGGCCTGGTCCCACCTATTTCACACTGCGATATTTGAATGCACAGTCCTGAGGGAAAGAGAGGATGTTGCGAATTTCACTTTCCTTCCCTGAAGCCCACACCACTCCATACCATTCTGAGAGGCCCCCTGATCCTGCAGAATGGATTTTAAGGGCCCATAAAGGTAGATGGGATGTGAAAGCTTGAGTAGAAGGTTTTAAGGCCATGGGCTGCCCTTAGAGGTATGGGATGGCACTAGGCACATTGTGAGCCTGGAAATTTGTTTTTCGAGACCACAGCTGAACTGATCGCACAGCTTTTCACGCAAAAACCAGCTCCTGGTTACCTCATCCTTTTGCTGTTGCTACTGTTAAACCATTAGGGGTTAGAAATCCTTGGTCATTTATTGCAAATCAACCAGAGATATACCTTCTGCCAACCCCTGACCTAGGTTGGCTCAATAAGAAGTGCTTGGGTTTGTACCTTTCAGCCTAGAATTTTTAAAACTAGGATTTAGTTACAGTGTTTCAGTTGTTCAGTCTGAGAATCCTAGGAGGAAAAAAAAACTTGTTGATGGTTGTGATTCTGAGAGCATTCATTTCATTTCACTGGGAATTAGATCTGCAGTCCAGAAACCTTAACTACCTTTGCTTACGTTTATTTGTCAGTGCATTGACATTAATGGGACTAGCAGTATTTGAAAAATTTCAGGGCCAATGCCCAAAGATTAATTGCACCTTTGCAAATATGTATGATGAATGCTACATGCTTTGACAGGCTTTTCATGTGGCAAATTTTGAAACATAGTTCACTGAAGAATTACAGCAATTTGTTGCTAATATGACTTGTACATGCTACATTTTTGCAATGGGATTTTTTAAATAAGAGTTTTCCCAAGATTGCTTGCCTGTCTCACTCTATCAGCTTCAAGCCCACGCTGATGTGCATGCACTTAATATTTAAATTACAGGAACCTGTTATTCATTTAGGAAGTTTGAAATAGTTCAAGAAATTGAAGCATATCTTTTTATTAATTTTCAAATTATACATTAAAATTTGTGCTTTTCTATACCTATGTCTTGGTATTATCTATATATAACATAACTGAGGCCCAGGAGCCACATGTGGCTCTTTGAGTTTATTTCATGGGTGCCCTTGCCACTTGTGGCTTTCAAACATTTACCATTTATGACTTTTCTGTTGAGCAAATCTGGCCATCCCTGATATATAACAAGGCTATGAACTAATTACATCAAGGTGCTTTGGCATTAAATTTTACTTGTACTAGCCTCAAATATGCTGAACTCATGGAACAATTACTTCTTTACATTATAAAACACTTTTAGTGCCATCATTTATTTGTCATTTGAGATAAATATTTATTATTCAAACTTAAAATCAATCAGTTCTTCACAACTGCCACAAATCTAGAAATAGACACAGGGGTTTTAATGTAGCATTTTAGATGAAATAAACATCTCTGAAAACCTGTCCCATTCTGTTTTTATCAATAGTTAGCCTGCAATATTGTACATGTCATAGCTTGCCTACTATTGCTGATCTTTTCATAGAAAATATCCTGATAAACTTCAGACATTGGAAGCATCTTGATGCAAAAGCTGCAACATTTACTTCTTCTTTCCTACTGTTGGGCTAATCCATATTTTAAATAGCATTTTACTCATTGTCCACCCCATCACACTTTACCCTGTCATCAAATTCTCCAGCCCATAATTTTCATTAAGGTGCTATATTTTCCTTTCCACAGCATGGCATACTTTATGGATTGTCCTGTTGAGCTTCAGTGTCACACACAGAAAGCAAGAGAACCCTTAGCTCAAGGTCTTACATTATTCTTAATGTTCAGATAATTTTGTGCATTTAAATTTGAAGCAGCTGCTAGTTTTGACAAACAAAGGGACTGGAATAATTTTTAAAGAAAAATATATGCTTCCTTCATTGTTAAATCTTTTAAACAAGCAAACTGGATCATTTGGTTTTAAAATAAAAATGTATAACTGTACTATGACTGTCTTCATATTTCAGTAGTTCAAAGGAAAGATAAGCTTTAAAAAGTTGATGAACTGGTTTTGTTGGCTTGGGTTTTTAGCATAGTATTGTATTCCAGTGGGTTTGAACTGGCCCTGGCAGAGACCCAAGGCAGGCAAATCTGGGCGGTGCAATGTATCTTGAAAAGGGAAATAGGTGACTCTTTTCCTTTTGAAAGACATTTTACTCATTATTTTATTTATTGTTAATAATTAAAGATTTGATTAGATTCTTAACAACAATCAGGTTAAAAAATCAGTTTATAATCTTGTCTCAGCAGTGTTAGTTTATGCTAAAATTTGGTGGGTAAGAACATAGTTTAAATTGAGCTTTTGACAGCATCATGCCACCTATGCTGAAGCATTTTATATCCACTTGATAAATGTTCAGAGTGAGTAATTTTGTTGTCCTTCTGTTTGAAAAAATAGAAAATCTCTTTCTGTAGGTATACAGCTGGTGATGCATTTCGTCTTTGCAAACAGTCATTTTGTGTTACTTATGTTGAATGGCAAACATGCTTGTGTGTAAAGGCACTCTCGGAGCCTTGAAAAGACAAGCAAAATAAGGAACATGTTTATTCTGCTAGAGACCTTGGCAGCCTCAGGAATGGTCTACCAGATAAAACCTGTGTCACATCCTTTAACGATTGATCGTCCCACTCCCAAGTTGTGTTTTTACATGTTGCAGCCATTGCAGTACTGCAGCTTCCTATGCTACTGGTGTAAACTCAGGAGTCCACATGAGGATCCTGCCCATGCTGACATCAATCCTCTGGAACGTTGCAAGCAGAGAGAACAACTGCAACATGCTCTCCCTCCTTGCAGCATCAACAGCTTAGGACACTGAAGCACTATTGCTCTGCTTCAGATAAAACATCCCGCAAAGAGAAAGAGTCCTTCACTCCCTGAAGAGTTCAAATGTGCTGCTGAAGTCTGGCTGGGAATGTGTGTCTGTCTGGGCAGGATGAAAGGAAGATATGCAGAAGGAGCAATCCAGCAGCTACAGTGCTTGGTCTAAGATTCCTTTCAGTGGGGTTCCCTGTCTAATAGAGCTGTGATATTTAGGAAGCAATTTAATGCATTTTTAGACAGAAGGGCTGGGGGAACCCCTTACTACTCCAGCATTCACTGGGAGTAAGCAGCATACTCAGAGTTGTAGAACTGTTTTTCTGTCTGAATGTGCACTGGATTGTACCCTTAAATAAACTGCAGTCCTCTCTACTCTTACCAGTGCTTACTTTTGAGTGGACATACATTGGATTGCACAGGAAGAATAAGGTTCTTTTTAAATACTTAATCATGATTAATTGGGCAGTATAAGATAATATATAGTTATAATACAAAATGCATTTTAAAAAACCTCTCTGGAGTGGACTGAGGAGGAAATGTCAAATAGTAATTCTAGATTCACATAATGGGCAGAAAGATCTATTTACGTTTTCCCCCCTCCTTATCACTGCTTCAGTTTCCTCCCTGTATTTTTTCCAGTTTATATTGAGCTGCTCTGTGTAATTTATTGGCACTTTGAGAGTAAAAAATCGCTCTCATGTACACACACTCACAACTAACCAATAGCTAATTTGACCTTATTTTATATACACTCATACTCAAAATCCCAGTGCTAACTCTGATTCCTAGCAAGCAAGGAAATACTTTAAAAGTAATATTATAAATTGATAGCATTATTACAAAAGCATATGCTCCTGTTTATTGAAACACATCACCTGTTTCTCCCCCAGAAGAACTGACAAATTGCTTCTTTATATTGCAGGTTTAATTACAACAACATCTCGAAAACTTGACCGGGAACAGCAAGCCGAACACATTTTAGAGGTAAATTATGCTCTAATAGTCACATGGCATATATATTTATAATGTCAAGTAGATTCCCTATGTGTGACTGTATTGGGTGCTGGAATCATTGTTGTGAAGGGAGGACAAGGGAATAGAAGGAGATTTCCAATGGTAGAACTGCCTAGCCAAATTAACTTGTAATAAGTCCATTTCAGTGTGTTTTGAGACTGATTGTGTGATGTGGGTGTTTGTGTTTTAATCAGATAGTTTATCATTCTTATTTATTTAAAACATTTCTATGCCACCCCCATCACAACAAAGCCTCGGGGCGGCTCACAAAGAATGCATAAAAACATACATAAATAATAATAATAATAATATAACAATAAAAAAATGTTTAAAAACCCCCAGTGCATTCTCGGCTAAAAATTTTAAAATCCTAATTAATTCTTATGAACCATGCTGGACTTCTGCTATACTGAGGTACTGCAAAGAAGTGCTTTAAATAAAACAAACACTTGCAGCCTACTATCTAGGGAAGGGGGTTTCAAAAGCCTGAGTAAGCCCACCTAACCTTCCAAATTGGCTCTAGCTGGGGGCAATGTATATTGCCAGCCTGACCCAAGTCAGTAGGCCTCAGATTCCTCTCAAAACAGCGGAGCTGTCCCTTCCCTTCTGAAGCAGTGGGTGTCTGTCAAATGTGGGCTGAGAAAGTTCTGAGCTGATGCTCTCCCTACCCAGTTCGCTTGAAGGAGAGGGCTTCGTGTCCCAGAGTTGCATGTGACTCTTGATGGGAGGGATTTTCCCACAGTTCTTTGCATCGGATGAATGTTACAGGGTCTTCAACTACTTGTTCATTTCTTTCTGCTGTAGTACATCTATATTAAGGCATCAGATTATGAGAGTTTTGTGAAGTACCCATCCTTATTTACATTCAGGGTCCTCCATGGGATAGGCAAGAAAATTCAGCTACCAGTTATGTAATATACTCTGCCCCTAAGTTAGTTGTGACCTGTGGAGTTTCCTTTCCTTTTCTCTGAAACTAGCCACCCTATTTATAGGGCTTTTCACTCGTGTACAGTAGAAAAAAACCTGCCACAGCAGTGATCAAAATGAAAACACCTGTAAATTCAGTTACTCTTGTGAAACAGCAGTACAGTTCTAATGGCACCTTAATTTATTTAAAAGACAAAATATCTGGCTAGCACTGAATCTGTGTTGGCCCTGACAGTCCTGAGCATCCCATTCTTGCTTGTACCTCCTGAACAGTGGCAAATTAATATTATATTTTATCAGATGCCATAGGCTGAGCACTTGAAGGTTCTTTTAGGTTCACAGTAACTTTGTTTACAACATGTATTTATTTCATTTTAATACTACTCAATAGCCAAGGATATCTGGGAGGCTAACAAAAGTTTTTTAAAAATAAAAACACACACACAATTCCCTTAAAACAACAGAACCACAATAGCTATAGCAATTGAATCAGCACAGCAGCATTGCAGTGGTACAGAATAAAACACGATATTAAAAATGAAGTTAACAAATTAAACTGTTAAAATGCTGGGAGAATAAAAAGGTCTTCACCTGGCAGTGAAAAGAATCCAAAGTAGACTCCAGGAAGGGCCTCTTTGGGGATTTCACAACCAGGCCACCACCACAGAAAAGGCCCTTCTCCTGGTAGCCATCTACCTTACTTCCTTTGGAAAGGGCTTCCAGAGAAAGACCCCCCTCACCCACCAATGTCCTCAGGGTCTGGGTAGGTACATACAGAATGAGGTGATCTTTCAGATAACCTGTCCCCAAACCATATATCTGCCCTTGGTGATAGCTGTCCTGCTCTGTAAACCGAAGAGAAATCATTCCCTTAAGACACAGGAGAGGCTTCACAGCTCTAAGTACATATGTAAGGGGGTATGGAATATCTGGTGGGGAGCTTTAAGGAAAATCACATCAAGAAACCCAAGGTGAATGGGGATTTGCAGAATCTCCTGGATTCTATAATTTGGAGATGACTTCAGTTCAGCTCCCAGCTGTTCCTTATCCCTGTTCGTTCCCTAGCCTTGTATGGGGTCTCTGGTTCACTCTTTGACAATCTTACTGCTTACTCTGAGATTCTGTAATTGGAAGTTCAGGGATGAACCTGGGACTTACACATGAGAACTGTATGATCCTTTACCTGCTTGGTTCATAAGTAGCTGAGTCGAGGTGGTGCTCGGATTTTTTTCCACTGAATAAGGTATAGCTGTCCTTTGTAACTTTCTGTCTTTTATTGATTTCATTCTAGTGCAGTCCTTAAAAGTAACCTAGTGGTCTGTTTGTATGATTTGGAGAAAGCCCAGATGTTGACTTGCTGAGAGGGAGAGATAAGAAACTACCTGCCCTGCTTGTTCACTGGGCAGTTGTGCAGTCAGAACAATTGGGTGGCCATTATTTGTTAGCCCCCCTCCATATAAACCGTGGTTTGTATTCTGCTTTTAACTAAACCATGGTTTTAACTAATTATGGTTATACCAAATCATAGTTCCTTCACTTCTTATGTAATGGGGAAGATTGTTTGAAATTGAAATTAGAGTGGGAAGAAAGTGAAAGGAGAATCCCTTGTGATGATCTATGCTTAATTATGGTATGATAATCATCTGAACTGATCTTTAAGTCTGCCAAAGGTTTTGCTAGAATGACTCAAAAGGGTAAGGTGGCTTTTACAGGCACCATGTAATATGACTGTTTCTGTATACATAGTGATTTGTAAAGTGTACTATAGATATTGAGTCGTTACCACACCGCAAATGCTAAGCAAGTATAATAGGAGTTTTTTACCCACTTACATTTTTTCAAAACTACCATGTTATTTTTAGAGTAGGAGCTAATAAGATTGTGCATCCATTGTCTAATTCACCTTCATGCAAATATGAACAATGAACTGATTTATTTTCAGCAATGTGTGATGCTAAATACTCACTTTATCTCTCTTCCTCCTCATTGCTTCTTTTTCCATTGTTGACTTGAAAAGATCATGTTGCCCAAATCAATAGAATCTTAATTTGGGTACTGGAGTGCATGAAATGGGGAAAACTATTAGTAGTGTTTTTTAAAAAAAGTTGAAATGTTACAAACAGCTTTACCCCATTGTTTTGTGTTGCTATATTTAAAAAAAATGTTTTGGGATGAAGTCCAAAATATTCACAGTACAGTAGCGATATTATAAGCTGCTTCAGCCAAATGTTGTGCATCTGGCTAATTAATTGAGCATTAAAGTGTTGACCAGATGGACTGGCAAGTTTATTCCTTGTTTGCTATTAAACTGCATCCAACTTATCACTCTGGTTTGAAGAGAAACAAATATAAATATGTTGCATTATGGTTCTTGCTAACATTGTTCTAGACTTTATAGGAAAGCATTAAATGGTGTCTTGCTTTTAAATACAGAGGATTTGTTTGTTTGTATAGCAACCTCATCTTAGACTCTCATACTTTAGAATGTAGCTGTTCCATTTCATTTTTCTCCACTATAACAATGGCCATTTTTGAGACTATTTTTCTTCCTTCATAAACTTATTAGCCAGGCTTAGTACAATCCTAAGCTTGTTGATTCAGGCCAAGCCCACTGAGTTATATGGGACTTACTTCTCAAGTATGCAGAGGCTTTAGATGTGGTTTCCTAAACATGGTGTTTGCTGCCTGCACGTTGGTGAGTCTTGTTGCTCTGACAAGAGGAGTGTTTGTTCGGACTTGTACACCAAATGAAGTTTGAATCCAGACTGGAAGCTGATGGTGTGACACTGCCAGCCGGTAACCCGCTTGCTTTCTCTGAAAGAGTTTCACTGTGGGAAATAACAGATTCAAATCCCTGCTCAGCCCAGAAGAGCTCTTGGTGGTTTTGGACAGGCAGAGTTCTCTGAGTCTACCATTTCTCATGGGAATTATTTCTCTCGTGGCCAAAATGCCTTTCTGAGTTCATTGCATCACTGTGGTAAAAATATGCTAAAAAATTACTGAATATCCAATACATAGTAGATAAAATAGGGAAGGGGAGGAGAGAGAGAGAATGTAATTTCAAGGCATCTGGGGCCATTCTGTCTTTTAATACCTACAAGGATACACTTCTCTGCTCCTTTTAGGAGTATTAGCCCTTGACAAACCATTTAATTCTGCAAAATATTTAATCTGTTTAACCTGTCCAGTTTTATTTATGCATTCATGGTATAACTATCCAAGAGAAAACTATAAATAAATATCCTGTTGCATGTACTGACAATTCAGCCTGATATTGCTACTGTTTATGCTTCTGTCTTTAAACATATAAATCCGGGTGCTGTCCTGTCTTTGTATGAATGGAAGTTGGGCTTCTCACCCTTCCTCTGCACTGTAGTCCTTCCTTATCCCCCAAAGTTGTCTCCTGAGACTCAAGGATTCATAGGGAAGATCTGGAAAGTGGTGCCAAGAGCAGAAGTGGGAGGATGATCACCAAAGCTTTGTAGAGGAAGCATTTGAAAGCAAGCTCTGTACCTTGCCTGGTGTATGTGATACCAGTAGATATGTTTGATCAGTGCTGGGGACTGTTCTTCAGCCTAAAGACCGTACTGGCCCCAGCCAAGTATACTGGAGCCCCTAACAGCAGTGAAAGGAGTCCTAGCCCAAACTGGAAGGGGCTTCTCACACTTAGGCATGTATAGGTAGACACACACACAGTCAAATCCCATTCATGCTAATTACACACATACGTATGCATACACGCTGGATGACTTCGTGTGTTACAACAAGCCAAGGTGGTTTCTTTGCAGGATGGTCTGTTGTATCATCTGAACCCTGGCATGGTATTTCTGCAAGATATTGTTTATTGAAATCACAATAAGAAACAACCATCTCTCTGTTCTGTGGTTTCCATGCTTCGCCATGGTTTCTCTGCTTGCTTAAAATTAGCATTATGATTTCCATGGTCCTGGTGTGTAGCTACCACCGAGTTCTTTGGAAGCAGCCGCTGCTGCTGCAGGAGCTGTTCCAGCCATCCAGCATGGGATTGAATTTCAGATGCAGTGGCTGATGGGATATGTGCCAACAGTGGGAGACTGAGGAGGTAGAAACCACACTAGCATAGAAACCACTTACTCATCTGTCAACACATTCAGGCAAAAACCAGCACTCCATGAAAACCATGCAGGGTTGCTTGATTTAATGTGCCAACCCAGCCACTGTTTCCAGTCTCTTATATGCACTTGCACACCAGAATCCTCACCATTTGTATGCAGATATACATGCACAGGCCACAAAACTTTCCATGAATGAAGAGCTCTCTCTTTTTCTCTATGAGGCAGCAAGAAACAACCCATAGGAAATGTGCTGCCTTTCCATGCTTTACCAAAAAGGGAGCCTTTATTGCAATACAGTGGTGGGAGTGGGAAGCTCTTATCTCTCATCAAGCAGAGATAAGAACTTTTTCCTGCCTGAAGAAAGTGGATACAAGTACCCTAAGATTCTTACCTTGAGTAACAGGACACCAGGAGCATGGTGTTGGGAAATATTCTGTCACCCTGGACCAGAAAGCAGTCTGCCATTCCATTTCTGGACCAGCAGTCACCCACTTTTACATCCCTATTTAATTCCAGTCTTGTGGCAAATGCCAGATTTCACTTGGGCTCCTGGAGGTGAGAGAAGAACGGAAGAAGTGGCAAGAAGAAAGAGCAGGAAGTTCTTGAGGACAAAAGCACTGACTGCATGTCTTTCCTGGTTCTGAAGTGGGCACTTGAATGTTTCTTCCCACATCACAAAACCAATAGCAGAGTGAGCAATTACAGGTGTGTGGCTCCAGAACACCAGGGGGAAAAGATTGAAAGCTCCCACGTCAAGCTTGAAAGCCTTGAAGCCTAACATACCCACTGCCAGTTTTGCACAGAGAATGTGTCTGAGAACATTCAGCAGTTTCTCTTTTATTTTTCTGGCCGATTGATCTTGTTTGTTTGAATTACTCTAGTTGGTTGGCCAAAACATTTCTTAAAAATAGCTGAATGGCTCATTTTCTATCAATTTCCAGTAATGACTGCCTGCAATTTGACTGTGTTGAATGTCTCCACACATTGACAAAGAAGGCATATTAAAGACCAAGAATGCAACAGAGGGGGGTTGGGATGAAGGATAAAAATAAAGTCAGAAAAACTGATAAAGAGAAAGGATAGAGCAACAGCTAATGGAGAAAATAAGCATTAAAAATGTGCTTATTTTGTGCTGGGTGAAGTGCTGGACCAGAAAGGGGGAAGAAATTCAATTCCTTTGTTCTTTCGCAAGACTCCTGTTCCTTCACTAGCAGGTCTCTGTATGAGATGGCTGCATGCCACAATTAAAGGAGCCCTGAAAGACTCCTCAGTTTGAACTCTCCCTAGCCTGAATAGGACTGGAATGACTTCATCTACAAGTGCCTCTTTGGAAGGCTTGTAAGAGTTGGTGAAGGAAGATGAACATCAACATTCCCCCGTTGCATGTTGTAACATCCAAAGAAAACAACTCTGGTTCTCCCAATACTTTGGTTTATTGGGGAATTAGCAATTGAACAGCAAGCAGCATCATTTCCATCCCAGACAGCTCACTGGCCTTATCAGGTGAGAGTAACACACAAAGTCCTTTGGGTCAGTCTACGGCAGGGGGTGAGGCCTCTCTGACATTCCCCTCAGGCTTCCCAGCTCATTGGAGTGTTGAGTGCCTGTCTTCCTTCTTTCCCTGCTGTTTCCTTCCCACTTGCATTGGGAGCATCAACAAACATCCTTTCAGCTCTGCAGCAGCTCTGGCGATTGTCTCACAATCTTGCTGGGGAAAGCACTTTCCTGGTTCAGCAGCTGCCTTCATGTGTGGCCAGTGCCCGTTCCTCCAGCCTGGAGTCCTGCACGCTTTACCTCCTCACCTTCTGCTGCTAGCAGCCACGTGCCTAGCTTCTCTCTGCCTGCCCTTTCTGTCCTGTTCTCTTGCACGGTCAGCTCGCACACCTCTGCCCCCCAGCCTTCTCCCAGACTTCCATTATCTTCCTGTCCCCACCCAGCTGCTTTTCATTGAGCTGAATCTGCTCTACGGCAAGGCGTTGGCTGGCATAGCTGTAGCCAGCGTCCTTCGCTCTAAAGCCTCTCTAAGGGAAGAAAACTCCTCCATCCCAGCCAAGCTGTTTGCTTTTCCCTTACCTGCTCACCCAGTGGAAGGCAGTGAGCCCTGACCACTTCTCACAGAGGCAAATTCAAGTAATGGTGCTGGAAGTCTCATTGGCCCCCAAATTCCTCAGTTTGCTACGGTGCTTGTTTGCTTTTCTCTTGTTTTTGGTAGTCGCAAAGTCGTGTCCGACCCATTGCAACCCCATGGACAACATTCCTCCAGGCCTTCCTGTCCTCCACCATCCCCTGGAGTCCACTTAAGTTCATGCCGACTGCTTCAGTGACTCCATCTAGCCACCTCATCCTCTGCCATCCCCTTCTTTTGACACCTATTGTTCTCAGCATTAGGCTCTTCTCCAGTGAGTCCTTCCTTCTCATTAGGTGGCCAAAGTATTTGAGTTTCATCTTCAGTATCTGGCCTTCTAAAGAGCAGTCAGGGTTGATCTCCCCTAGGACTGACTTGTTTGATCGCCTTGCAGTCCAAGGGACTCATAGGAGTCTTCTCCAGCACCACAGTTCAAAGGCCTCAGTCCTTTGGCACTCAGCCTTCCTTATGGTCCAACTGTCACAAGCCATACATTGCAACTGGGAAAACCATAGCCTTGACTATACACACTTTGGTCAGCTGGGTGATGTCTCTGCTTTTTAGTATGCTGTCTAGATTTGCCATAGCTTTCCTCCCCAGGAGCAAGCATCTTTTAATATCTTGGCTGCAGTCCCCATCTGCAGTGATCTTGGAGCCCAGGAAAATAAAATCTGTCACTATCTCCATTTCTTCCTCAACTATTTGCTAGGAAGTGAGAGGACTGGATGTCATGATCTTAGTTTTCTTAATGTTGAGTTTCAAGCCAACTTTTGCACTACGTGAGTGCAAATGGCAAGGGTGCAATGCACAGTATGCAAGACATGCCAGAGTTCAGATGAGCAGCTATATGGATTTTTAAATCTGTGAATGTCATCTCATCAAATGTTCCTTCTGATTGACCTGCATTACCATCTCGATGCTCTGAGTAACTCTCTTGCCTTCCTGGGCCTGTTGTGTTTAATTTTAGTCTTGTGTTGCTTGATGCCATTGGCCAATTTGTTCTGACATACAAGAGCTTGGCCTTGCAGCTGACTGCCGTGGGGATTTGAACACTTTAGAATTTGAGTTCTGATATCTGAGGATAACTTTTGTATAATTCTTCTGTGCAGGCAGTAGCATGGTTTTTGGAGTTACAGTGTAGACACAGGTCTGCTGAAAGCAATAGAAGCCTTTTTCCAGAAACACACAAATACCTGCAATGTGTCCTCTCTCCCTTTCTCTCACTCTGTGTTTGTGTGTGTGTGTTATATAGTAGTCAACTTTTTTTTTTTTTTAATTCAGGAACACTTGAGTGTCAAGTATGGCTTGAAAGTAAGATGCGTGCAAGTGAAGTAACTTCCCTACATTTTTAAAAAGCAACTAACAGTGGGAGTTTTTTTTTTTTAAAGAGTTGCCTTTAACGAGTAAGAAAATCTGCATTCCTTTCTCCTATTTATCCTTCTTTTGATATATTTATTATTTTCAGAACTTGTTTGTTAACCTTCATTCAAGTAGTTTTACAGTCTATAACAGAAGTTTGAAAGAATTGACACTGTCCAATTTGGAAATAACTTCTAGTCGTCATACATGGTACCTTAGCACAACAAAAACATAATATAAGCATTGCTTAAAATTTTTTTAGCTGCAACCTAAAAGCACATACACTGCTTTTCTACTGTTGTGTGGCCCCTTTGCATAGCACAGGGGTTCTCTGCCTTTCATAGAAAGTTTGTCAGGGACTTTCTAGAGCCGAGAAGTTTTAGGTGGGGAAGAGCCACCCAGTCTTCTTCTGCACATGTCTGGGGTTGAGGCTCCAATTTTTCCTCTCAGTTTCTCTTTGAATGCAGCAGCTGTATAGATAGATTGTTCTTTCCATCTTTGTCTCCATTTTTAGTAGACAAAGTTGAGTTGTTTCTTGTCTTTTTTCTCTTCTTTGTAATTGAAAACCAGGTCTCCAAAGGGCAAGGTGGTTAGACTCCATCAAAGAGGATGTGGGCCAGAGCATATTTCAGCTGAAAGAGGTGGCACGGGATTGGAAACTAGCACGATCTGGTTCATAGGATCACCTATAATTGGACAGGACTGAACAGCTGAACAACAACAAATTAAACCTTTGTTGTTGTTTGTCCTTTTCATTTAGGATTTTTTCCCCCTGTGCATTTGACTTCTGGCACAGAATTTTTCTTGGTGCCCTGTGGCCCTTTGGGCCCATTTTCTAAGTGCACAAACTGCAGCATTAAATTGTCATCTTGGGATGGTCACTTCCTTTGCCTGTTTTGGTTATTCTGCTTCAGTGAAGGATACTTCATTGACTCTTTTGCACTGTGCCAGAGCTTTACCAAACAGGTGAGACACACACCTCTGCCATCTTGCTAATTGCTTCTGACTTTGGTAAATACCACCACAGCAAACTTGGGCACAGTCCTGCCACTGAGTTGGCCTAAACCCTTGGATTTGGCATCAGTACCTACCAAGAACTCTTAACAGATCTCCCACCATCTCTGGTTCCCGATTAGGAGCACTTGAAGAAGGATAAGGCACTTGGAAGCAGGCCCACCCATAATGCATGTAGAACAACTTAAAGAGAAGACAAGAATTAAAATGAAGATTGATGCTAGGAGCACTACCTAGAAATTTAATATGGATTCTGTAATTGCTTTCACATATATACCAAGGGTCATATTGCCAAGACAGAGATTGAAGACCTTGTGCTGATGTTTTTCCTCTTTTCAAAACATTGAGTCATATGTAAAGTTTTAACTTGTTCTTAGGTATAACATTATTTAATTTTAAAATTGTTTATTCTTATCAATAGGTAACAGTTACAGACAATGGAATCCCAGCAAAATCAACTCTTGCCCGGGTGATTGTGAAGATCTTAGATGAAAATGATAATAGACCTCAGTTCTTACAAAAGTTCTATCAGATCAAGTTGCCTGAACGTGAGAAACCAGAAAGAGAGAGGACTGCCAGACGGGAACCAATCTACCGTGTAGTAGCCGCAGATAAAGATGAGGGACCCAATGCTGAAATATCCTACAGCATTGAGGATGGTGATGAGCATGGAAAATTTTTTATTGACCCAATCACTGGAGTGGTGTCCTCTAAAAAGTATTCTGGAGCTGGAGAATATGACATTCTTACAGTAAGTCAGAATTTCAGTTTTGTACTGTTACCTACAAATGTTAACATTTTTTACTGTAATTTTATCACTACTTAGTTCAAAGATATTTTTTAAGCTTGGGCAATGTAATTCAGCCAGCATCAAGTTACACTGAATTAAACATGCTATTTATATTTATTATTTATTTTTAAGAGTCAATGGAGATGTATTTGTCTTCTGGCAAAAATACAGAATTAAATTAATGGTTTTGTAAACATCCATCAGAGATAATAATTATAACAAATGAATATTTGGCCAGGATCCAAAGAATTTAAAACATCATAAAAGGGGCTTGCTGTGTTGTACTTTACTTTTCCCTTGATCAGCTTCAGAAGCAGTTTGCCAGTTGGCACAAAGAGCCATTACATTACATTACTGGAGAAAAAGAAATATTGAAGCAACATTTCTGTGCCAACTAACCCCATTAAACTCAATGCAATCTCTGTCTGTACATATGTATGGTTATACTGTAAATTTCCTTTGGGGTTACAGTGTTAGTTTCATAGTTCTTGGTCCCTGCTGATCACGATGGAGGCCTCTGATGTCACTGTGAATGCTGTCAGTCACCCAATGATTGATCATGTCAATCAACTGCAATGTCAGTATTCAGCATTTGTATATGATCCATTTTCATATTTGTTTTTCTAATATGACTAAATGCTATATTCTTAGATTAAAGCTGTGGACAATGGACGGCCACAGAAGTCATCAACAGCTCGTCTTCATATAGAATGGATCCCAAAACCTATTCCAGTCTCTGAACCAATTGCTTTTGAAGAATCTTTTTTCTCTTTCACTGTCATGGAAAGTGATCCAGTAGCTCACATGATTGGGGTAATAGCTGTTGAGCCACTTAGCACACCACTCTGGTTTGATATTACAGGTAAGAATAATTGGATTATTCTTTGTGAATTATCTGGGCAGCTGTTGTGTATTTTACACCAGAAGTCTCTGAAAGTTTTAGATCAGTTTGGAAATTTGAGGGAATGCTGCAGATGCTCTGAGAAAGCAACTATGATATGTGGAAAGGGATTTGCCTAGTCATATAAAAGTGCCATGGTGATCATATCCAGTCACAGGCATTCATTTTTCCAAAAGGCAAACTGAGACTAAAAGAAAAGTAACTTCACCAAGAACCCAGAAGTATAGTCTGAGTTCCAAATTAAAGTACAACCCTGCTCTTTTGAACTCAAAGATGTTTCTGGAGGGCAACACGTGGTTTGGCAGTATGCCAGCTTCTCAGTTAACAGACATTCATTGATAAAAATCTTAAATAAATATCTCAGGGCAGAGAGTCTAGGGAGTGCCAGAAAGGTTGATTTCCATGGACACCACAGTGGAGTTCTGCACTGTTCTTATCTAAGAAGGATTTAAGTAATGCATGAAGAAAGAGTATTATATAGAATGTGTCTCCCATTTTTTCGTGGGTAGTTTACATGTCCTTACTTGTTCACTAAACAACTCAAAAATCGTGCCCAATTCTTGCCATCTTCTGTTTATGAAATTCTGATTATTGGGTAAGGGCATCTCTCCTTTCCCTTGGCAGCATGCCTGTAAACCAAAGCCAATTCTATTTAGTACATCCTGGATGTGTTTTGCCTTCAGACAGGGGGACACCATAAGAGTGCCTGGAGGCTGCAACAACTGTGGAAATCTGGGTGCTTCTGGTTAAGGAACAACCATTAGACAGTGTGAGATCAGACCAAGACCAAAATGGATGGTAAATGCCGTCAAAAACTAAGAACTAGCATAAGACCAATAGTAAAAAGTATTAGCAAGGGAAGTTGAAAGTTTGAATATAAATGTTTTGTCATGGGGAAAAGAAGTGGAAGACATGAAGATAAGAACACAATCATATTGATCAGAATATTATACTTTCTGCTTTAGCTATCTTTACTGCACCTTTTTACTGTTACTAATAGCATGAATCAATCTGACAACTTTTCTTTGTTCTGTGCTTGCTTTCCATGCTTTCTTTCTTTTTGGCTGTGCCAGGAGACAAGCTTGCTAGTGAAGTTTTTTACATCTTTCAGATGGCTTGTGACCTGAACTGTACAGCAGAAGGTATCTGCTGAGATCACATAATTGATTATCGGATTATGAGATCTAAAGTAAAACCATGCAGATTTAGAATATTCTGGTAACTCTTGAGAAATATGTTTTCCTTTTCTGTCTGGACTTTTTTTTTTTGCACCCCTTTCCTGTAGCTCTTGAGTTCCCCTTTCCCTTATATGTTTTGTTTTGTTGTTTTATTTTGTTACTGCTGCTTATCACCACACTTGAATCAAAGCACTAGTAGTTCTGGTCTCACCCACAATTGTTCTTCTGTACTTTAAGTGCACTCAGACTGAAGGTGTTCTACAGTTCTCTTTAAATCTGGTTACAGAAAAATGCAGTTAATATATAAGAGTCTTGGGATATTTCTAGATGAACAGATGTGCAAATTTCAGGTGTGCTGATGTGGCACTTCTCATTTGTTTACTTTATTTAGGACTGCCAATTTGTATGAAAATGCACCCTAACATAGAGGTTTCTTCAGGCAAGAACCCTGCAAAGTTTCAAAAAGATGCATGCCAGGGATTCGGAAATTAGGGCAATTAAAAACCTTTTTAAGGAATACGTTTAGTGTGAAGCCTGGTGGAAGTGGAAGAATGTGCATCTCATGGTCCCCAAAGCACAATGACTGGAGAGCTACATAGAGGCACATAGAAGCTCCCTTTTGAATGCACACTGCCCACACATTCTGCAGTTTTCCCCAGTTTCCCAGATAGCAAGTGGGGGTGAGGGAACCAATATAAATAGAGAAGAATTGAAAAAATAGAGGAAAAACTAGCCAAGAGTTTAGAGATACACATTTACCATCTCAGCAGGTCGTGTGTGTGTGTGTGTGTTTTAAAGGGGGCATAATATACTGTCACAAAAGAAGCAAAAAATATTCTGGATTATTCCCCTCTCTCTCTCTCTCTCTCTCTCTCTCTCTCTCTCTCTCTCTCTCTCGTGCACTGTGCAGGCATGGAAAGAATGAAAAAAGCAAACATACTGATTGGCTTTTGCTATCTTTCTTCATTGTTGTGTTCAGAAACAAATACCCAGATCCCGACTGGCTCTGGGAAAATGATTAGAATCAAATGTAGAAATCCAAAAGAGCTGACTTAGAGAAGTTCAGGAAAATCTTTGCGTGATTTTAGCCACAGAAGGGAAGAGCAAAGAAAACAGGCAGGCATGCCCCAGTGAGTCCTACTGTGCCCAGCCACTGCCAGTGCTGAAAGAGGGTCAGAAGAGGAAACCAGCAGTGCTGTACAGTGGGTGGTCTGCCCTCTTGAGAAGAAAGGAGAGTACCAGCACAGAATCACTTCATAAGAAATCATCCCAGCTCCTGCTGGGGCTGGGGCTATCATTCTGACCCTACAAAGCATGATACTCCGCTAGGCAAATCTTTAAATTGTAGACCAGGATGCAACAGGCTCAGTGCAACACAGGATTTGTAGAAACTAAACTCCATGCTACTTCTGCTATAGAAACGAGTGTCCACACTACCCTCTTTGTAGTACCAGATCCAGGTCTTTGAGGGCCCTTGAACAGGACACCCTCCATGGGACCACTCCCTCAATGAGTCAGCCTTTCACTTACTGCTATTGCTCCTCACCTTCTTTCCCATCTTTGCTTGCACTCGGTGACTTGGCAGACAATGACCCCTTACAGAGCCAGTGAGCAAGTAGGCAGTGGTATCCTCCTCTCCACCATCACTTCCACGATTGACTGGGCTGGATCAAGAGGCATGCAAACAAGCTGATAAAATCGCAAGGAGGAGGAGCAGCCCAGGGCCCTTGACAGGTGTTCAACTATTCCTGCCCTTGATGTAGACTCTACCTTTTTGAGGTCACATCTCACCAGGAAATCATCTGTCATCTGGATGTAGCTTAAAGCTTTCCAGGCTAAAGGTTAATGTTTATGGATGTTACGCTCCATTGGAGCATCATCCTCAGTAAAATATATTCCACAAGCAATTCAGGTCAAGTATGTAGTGTTCTACTCTATTCATTGTTGGTGGAACATCATTTGGGGCAGTTAGAGGTGCCAGTCTGTTCTTAGATTCCCTCAATAATGGCCAAAAATGTAGCCACATTGAATAGCATGTAGTGAGGCAATATCCAGCTCATCAGTCTGACTGAATGATCTGAAAAGCAGAAATAACGTTTAAAATATTAGATGTTTCTAGTGTGTTAGAATAAATAGCAATAGCAAACAAACTTCCTAGAAATTCAGCATTATGTACATTTGGGGCCCTTATTTCCAAGTAAATGCTTTAAGGATTGGAAAGAGTGCACAGTATTGTTGTTGCCGAAATAACTTGAGAACAACAATAATTGGAATTCATAATTGCAGAATGCAATGCATTTAGTAGTTTTTATCACAAACGACTTGGTGTGTAATGTCTGCTGTTCTAAAACAACAGGACAGAACATATACCACCACGTAATGTTTTGTCATGGCTAGTGTTAAGTTGACAACAATGCAAACTAATTTCTTTAAATAGTCTAAAAGTTGAAAACCAATAGAAGTTGATGGTGAGCAGCTGTCACGGTTAACTACATTCTAATGGCTATTAGATTGTTAAGACAATCTGCTTTGACTGTTGCTAATATTATTATAATTAATTAAATGCTTAGATGATTGGCTTTGCTTATTAAACTATATTTCAGTTTCATTATTGAACTATATATCAAAATCAATTTAGAAGTTTTGTAAAAGACTAAAATAAATACACACAAGAGAATAGTTGTTAGTATTTCTCAGCCATTGTGGTCTTTCCTATTTTACTCTTTACTCCTTTTCTAGTTTACTCTTTCATTCAGTTTTTTCCCCCAGTGATCCAGAGCATGCAAGTACGTAGGAGCACAATCCACCAAGTGGTGCTCCAGTAACTTTAATAGCAGCAGTGCTCAGTGGATTGCACTCATGGTAGACATGAATAAGATTTTGCTAACATCCCCAGTTTGAGGGGAGAGGGTATAAATACATTTTAGAAAACCACATTTTGTAAATACACATAACTGACCTGTGCAAGCCAAAACCCGATTTTGAGGGGGAAATAGCCTTATTTAAGCTTTTTTAAAGACCACAAATAACTTTACTAGCCCATCTGTTCACATATTTCTGTGTTAACATTCTTTGAGGACTAGTGGGTATATTTGCAAGGCTGTTACAGAACATTCAGTTTGTTAAAGCACAGCTATCAAACTTTTCAATACATGAAAGATACCCCTGGAAACCCAATCCACCATGAGTCAAATAGCAATGCCAGAGACATTAAGTTGTTTCTCCCTTGTGGCAGTCTTTTGCATTGCAGCTAGGTTGTAAATCCCATACTGAGCAGCAAATATTTCCGAGCTGATTTTGTCTTACATATTTTGTCTTTTTGTGAAGCATCATAGCATTGTGTATTCTCATGAAATGGTACTTCTGAGCAGCATGTTATGAACTTCTATCTCATTCGATTTCTTGGAGCAGGTGGCAACTATGACAGCCGCTTTGATGTGGACAAGGGCACTGGAACCATTGTTGTCGCTAAACCTCTTGATGCAGAACAGAAATCAAATTACAATCTGACAGTGGAAGCAACAGATGGAACTAGGACTATTGGCACCCAGGTAATGGAATTTCTAATGAAGTGTTTATTAAAAGAAGAATTTGTACCAGTTTCTTGCCTTTTTCCTTCCTGGGAAGAATTGCATTGTGTATAAATTAGAGGAACTTTGTTTCAAGAAGTGGTTTCCTGTACCCACAGAATACAATATCCCAAATGTTTGGTAGCCTAAGGCAGGTGCAGTAGGAAGTAGGAAATCAATAAGGTTTTAAGGTTATATAATGTTTTGGTATTATAAAGGTAAATGAGCAATAGAAGCCAGGCAATGTAAAATTTACACAGAAATAAAGGGATTTAATAATTTAAAATGCTAAAGAAACAAAACAGAAAAGTCTCAACCCAGCTATATTTACACAGTAGTATAGCTATTGTGTATAGCAAAACCATCTCACTTAAAAATATTCAGTGGTTCTAATCTTGCAAATAATAGTATATAGCTATGTGAGTCGGCTATCAACTATTTTCCCATCAATTAAGTACAGCCAGTTCTGGTTCTCCCATGTGTGTCTCAATATGATGAATCTGACTTACCTATTAATTTACTCATTCCTTCATTAATTTCAATACTGCCCCACAGCCAAAGCTTCCTGGGCCATTTACACAGCCTATAAAAACAGATGATAAAAATTCAATAAAATGTAATAAAATTGGGGAAAATATTTAAAAGTTTTAAACAGAAAAAACCAGACAATAACAAGAGATAACAAAAAAAGTATTTCTGCAAAACTGGTGACCCTGCCCCCCCGGGCAGCCAGTAAGTCTTTAAAAGCCTTAGAAAAGAGGGCTGTCTTAACCTGAAAAGATGACAGATTCAGTGCCAGCTGAGCCACAGTAGGGAGGTTAGTCCATAGAAACTACCAAGAAAGCCTTTTATACATTGACATGTCCTATTTTCAACTTAAGCTTACTCTCTGCTACTTTGGGGCCAGTGATAGCAACTTTGCATTGGTTAAATTCCTTACTTTCATTTAGAATGACATTGCATAATGAATTGTTACTAAGTCATACATGAAAACTTTTGTAAAGCTTATTACCATGGGGTATGAATCATCTTAAACGATAAAAGCTGGAGAAGTGCAGAAACAAGTAATCAAAATGATCAGTAGGCTAGAGTAGCTAGCCTAGGAGGAAAGATTACAATGTCTGGATTTTTTTAGTTAAAAAATTGTGAGAAAGAATAGACATGATAGAGATATTTATGTTTTACATGGTGCTTTCTCTGAGAACAGTAACTTCTTTCTGCTCTCATAATTCTAGAACCCAGGGTTCTAGCCAGTGAATTGAAATGGGAGATTCAGAGAGACAATAGAAAGACTTCTTCACACAGTTCATCATTAAAGTATGGATTTCACTGCCACAAGATCTGGGTATGGCCACCAAATGGATGGATTTAAAAGCTGATGAGGGGCAAATCTATTACTTCTGTGACAAACATATCACTTCCAAGATTGGAAGCAACATAACTCTGAATATCAGTTACTGGGAACAATAATTGGGAGAGACATGTTGGTCACTAGTTGCCCCTGTGAGAGACTAGAAGCTCCTTTGGGCAGAGCTTTTCTTACGCTCTTTATCAGAATTTAAGCTGACAGTAGATTTGTTCCTTACTTGGAACAGCTGCTTTAGAGCACATTGTTTCCATTGTTAAAGCTTATTCAGCATGGCCTCTAAAAATGATAGAAGTATAGCTTGCTAACATAAAAATAGTTAAACATTCTGCATTTTTAAAATGTGAATCACTGTTCCTGCTTTTGGCAATCTGCATGGATTTGTCCATTTCTGTTTTCTCTGTTTGAAATGCACAGATAGTTTTTCAGCTGCTTTCTTTTCTGTATCATCTCTTTTTTCATCTTTTAGCAAAAGAGAACAAGAACATAGTTAATAGCTATTGCAGAAGAGCACACAGGGTTGTTTTTGATTGGAATTCCCCTGTTGCCTACTTGAAAGAATTAACTTTAACTATAGCTGCTAGAATTTCACATTTCTGTGCCATTATAATAGAACTGCATTATTAGTATAAGCAACAAAGCTTCTGACATGAATAGGGTATGCTTTAAGGTTTAGTCTTCATGCTATTCCTACTTCCTTCACCCCTTCCTCGTCCTCTTTATATAGAAATTTAAAATCTAACAAAAGTATTCTATTATTTGTTTATTTTGTTTAAAGTCTACTCATTAGCAACGTGCTTTCTTAGAGGCCATTACAATATAACATCATCAGAATTAATGTAATACAGTATTTAAGCAGATGTGTTTCAAACTGTTATTTTGCCATGCTATTTTACTATTTACCTGTCATTTCATTTCTGGGAACATGGGAAGTTTTACTGCTGGAATATAAAGTAGGCCATACTTTGAGGAAATGACAACCATTTAATAATAATAAAATAATAATGATTTATTAGTTATAGCTTGTTCTTGAATGTGATACTATTTAAAAATTACTATTTTAAGTAAGATATTTCTTATCCTTCAGTAACACAGAGGTCTGTAAGAATAATTAGAAATTGTAGATAGCTGTATTATAAAGTAGTGTGCAAAGAATATGCTGAAATATATTTAAGTTCAGCAAGCTGCCTGAGATACTTGATGTCACAAAATACTTGGCTCAGCATTTGAAATAGAATAAACAGCATAACAAGTCCTGATTAACTGCCATTTTTTCTAGTGTTACATCAGTTTCACTGGCAAAAGGGCATGTTATCAGATTGTTGTCTGTGTAAAAATAGTAAACCAAATATATGAACTCATTATAAAGAAATGTAATAACCTTTTGAATATGATTGTTGCATGAGAAAGCTGTGATTGGCTGCAGGCCATGAGCATCTGTGGAGCATTTGACTCCAGTGAAATAACTTAAATAGCTTTGTTTGAGGAAAAATGTGAGGCAGTAAGCAAGATTGCTGTTAGTGCCTCATACACAACTGAACACTGAATGCCTGGTGCACAAAGAGAATCAGCAGATTCAAGGCTTTCAGCAGTAATTTTGACAGTGTTAAAGTTGACTAAGGAAGAAAGTTATGCTGGGGAAAAATCAAGTGCCTTCAAAGCAAGAATTCTTTTTTATTTGATCTTAAATAAATATTATTATTCATGGGGAATGGAAAAGAGCATGCTTGAGTAATTAGGTTGATAGTTATAGGGAATAAAATATTTTATAGCCCCATCTACTTAATAGCTTTTGCCTTAGTTATCAACTTTGTAATAAATAGAAGCATTGGGTTTTTTAAGGATAACTGCTGCCATCTATGTGTTGTTCTTCCCTAGATTAAAAATTGTTGTGACACGTTAATTATGTGTTAATCAGCTGTGATGAAAGATACTGTTCATTGGTTATATTTCGCATTTTCAATAAAGTGTTTTTATTTTTGACATACTCTGTTTTGCTTATATACACACAATTATCTGGGTGCAAAGTAGCATGAATAGACAATGATTCAGTGGGAACATGACTGAAAGGCCCTCCATATATTCAGGATACCTTATATAATATCAGACTTTGACTTGAAGGTGGCATGACGGCCAAGGGTCTCTGGCTTGGTTAATGAGCAGTGTCAAGAAAACTATTCATTAACAGACAGTTTCAGAAATTCTTTAAATATATCAGAAGCAAGAAACCAGGCAGAGAGGGAGTTGGACCATTGGTTAATAATGAATTTGAAGAAGAATAAGGAGAATGCGGAAAAGCTGAATGAATTATTTTATTGGATACCAATACTTTTGTAAATTTGTCCTCTTTAGGATCTGATTTCTGATTTCACTGATTGTGAGCCGTCCCAAGATGCCATGCATAAGGGACAGCGTATAAAAGTTTTAAATAAGTAAACAAACAAACAAACAAACAGTTATGTCCCTGAAAAAGTGGTCTCTGACAAACAAAAGCTTGCCACAATTTATTAGTCTTTAAGGTGCCAAAGGACCGTTTTGGAATAACAGACTAACTAACCTGGGGTAATCCAACATGTAGCCCAGAGGCTGCATGTGGTTCCTAAGGCCTTGTTCTGTGGCCCTCTTGCCATTCAGGGGTCCCCACGTTTCCCCGCTCTTTTCAGAAAGAGAGTGGGCCAGGCTGGTAGCCTCATAAGAGCTCACCCCAGCTTGCCCTGAGCCACCTTCATGCTTATCTGCAGGAGTGGGTAGGGTATACTGGGGAGAGTTCAAGTGCAAGAGACTCAGTGCACCAATTCCAAAAAGGAAGGAGAGGTCAAGGAGGTCTCATGGGAGGGTTTCTGGGTGGCAGAAATGGAAGAAAGCGATGGGCTACCCCAGAGGAGCGATCATTGAGCTTGAGCTGCAGTTGGAGAAGGAGATACCTGGGTTCTCTGTAGAGATCACAGGCCCTCATTTAATGGTTAATTAACTATATTGTATATATAAAGTACAATAAATATATTGCAGACACTTTGATTTACAATATGGAAATGTAATTCCTTGTGTAGCCCCCAGGTTCTGTGTCAAAGTCCTCATGTAGTCCATGAGGTACGAAAAGTTGGACCATCCTGAACTAACCCAACTATCCTTTTGAAAATCATTTAAGTTGGTTTCTGTCTGTCGTCTGTTGTCTTTTATGAGCACTGATGCATTTCATGAATGCTTATCTAGATTTCTTTCCTATCTCCATAAAAATATTTTCATTCTAATATTTTTATCACTGCCACCTTCTATCTTTGTGTCTTTACAGGTATATATTAAAGTAATAGACACAAATGATCACAGGCCTGAGTTTTCTTCATCAGAATACCAAGTCATTATACCTGAGGACACAGTACCCGAGACTGAAATTTTGAAAATTAGTGCCTCAGACAGAGATGAAAAGAATAAGCTAATTTATACTATGCAAAGTAGCATGGATCCCATCAGCCTTAAGAAGTTTCGTCTGGATCCTGCAACTGGCTCTCTCTATACTTCTGAAAGATTGGACCACGAAGCAATTCATCGGCATGTTCTCACAGTGATGGTAAAGGAGCTTTCTCTTTATTCTTTATTCTTTAACTGAAATTCAGTACTCCCTGTATTTAAATATATCCTGGATGCACGGTGATCTCTCTCATCTGTAGGGATCTCCAGCCATGGCCTTCCTTATTTAGTACCCAGTATTTCTTCTTGTGAAACAAGCACTTTGCAAATAGAGTAAGAGCTAATACTTAAATACTTAATACACTGAAAGTATTGATACTGGATAAAAATCTCTTTTTTTAACATTGTCACCTAGGGGTATAATTCAACCTTGCTTCTTGATACACCTCATGCAGTTCTGCAAAGATTATTCAGAATAAAATTGCAAACAAAATTATTATTAAATTTATATCCCACCTTTCTTCCTCTCACAAGGAATTCAAGATGGCTTACAAGGTTTTCTTCCTCTTCGTTTTATCCTTAGAAAAATAACCCTGTGAAGTAGGCTAGCTGAGAGTCAGTGACTGATTCAAAGTCACTCATTGTTCTTGGCATTCATATGGAGACTCGAACCTAGACTTTCTGAGTCTCAGTCCAACCCTCTTAAGCACTCTTAATGCTGACTATTTGTAATGTGCCAATTATTTTAGGTACGGGATCAAGATGTTCCTGTCAAACGCAACTTTGCAAGAATCATCGTTAATGTTAGTGACACAAATGATCATGCACCATGGTTCACCAGTTCTTCCTATGAAGGGCGAGTTTATGAATCAGCAGCTGTTGGGTCAGTTGTTCTCCAAGTTACAGCACTAGACAAGGATAAAGGGGAAAATGCAGAAATTGTGTATTCCATCGAATCAGGTACCTTCTAATACTTTCAGTTTCTTTTATTGCGTTTATATGTTTTTTCATTATTAATAAAAATGTTAGCTTTAAGGTGAAAGCAGCAATATTTAAAATATAGGACTATAGCAGTTATAACTCAGTAATCCAGTATGCCAGTTTTGACAGATCTAACTTGTTAGAGGCAGTTCAAGATTTAGCTATATTCCCATTAAGTTGCAGCAAAACAAAGCTTCAGAAGCTACAAGCCAACACCAAGTTAACCATTTAATATTTACTTGGATTTTAATGGGTTAAGTGTACCTAACCATTTCATTGTGCCCAATCACACCGGGTGTACGTTGATACATAGATGCTGATGCAGTGATTACTGTGGTACATTCATAATCCATCCTTCAACAGTGGTATAATCTAAACATTATTGGAAAAAGCAACATTTATTTCTGCAAATAGTTTTACAATTTGCAAAATGGTTACCTGTGTAAGTTGTAAAAACCTTTAAAAATACAGACGAATAATGGCAAGAGAGTAAATGCTTTTTGGATAAATAAACAGAAAATGTGACCTTCAGGATATTGCCTGGAACATACTAAATTAAATTGCACTGAGTTCAGCAAATACACTAGATGCCAGAAGGCTATAATGCAATGAATCTGATGGCCTTCTCTGATGAGGATGCTCCACAGATTGAGGTACTACCACAGAAATACACTCTTTTCTAGCTTCACTTTGGACAGTGGTGGCACTCAGCAAACCTTCTTTCCTGATTATAATTCACAGCAGGCATGGATTTATAGGAGAAAAAGCACTGGCATTTCCTAGTTTGTATGTCTTTATAGAAGGAGTGGGAAACTTGCAGACCGGAGCATCTGGATGCTGACAGTCCCCATGATCACTTACCATTGGCTATGCTGATTAGAGCTGATGGGGATTCCAGGCCAAAATATCTGGATGACAAAATATCGCCCATCAGTGTGTTTAGGTTTAAGATTGTCAGCCCTTTGAATTTAGTTTAGATACAAAGTGGCAACCAGTGGAACTCAAAAGATTAGCATCATATACTCCCAGCAGCTAGCACATAACGAAAGTTGGACATTTGCTATGAAGAATTTTTCTACACGTCCATATATCCACACACACACTTTGTCTCTTTCTTGTCTTCTTACATACATTTCTTCCTTCTTTATCCAAGGAATTTTGTGGGAGGAAATGTTAAAACTTTCTCAGCATTGTATTTCTAGTTTTTTCAACTACTTTATGGCTAAAGCATTAGGTCAGAAGTTCTAAGTATCTGAGATGAACATTTCTTAAATGCTTGTAATGGTTTATGGGATTAGCAGTGGGATATTCTAAGAATGGCACTCTGTTTACAACCTTCAGTAAGAAAAAAGATAATATCAACTGCCTACCCAAATACGTAATTTTAATATTTTTAATTGCATCTCTTCATGATGAGGTAATGTTTCAAGAATAGCACATTTTTGCTGCACTTTTTAATTAAAAGATTAGAAATGAAGTTTCTGTTAATCCATTGTTTCATTTTTTTAAATTCCTGTGAAATATAAAACCCCCAATGTACTGTCTGCTTCATTTTGAAAGGCTTGTCTTGGTTCACTTTCATTAAGTCAAATTCTAGTGGGTATTTCTCAAAGGGAATTTTTTAATACAGAGCTTAAACTGTACATTTTAATTGGAAGTAATTTTGAAGCTGAAATGTTTTAACTAATTCACTGAAGTAATTCTGATTTGGAAATAATATTATAAAAGGACATTTTCACAACTATTAATTAAGATTCAATTGAGACTCGTTCAGAATAATGCTTGAAAGGATGTTTGATTGTGGTTGTACATGCTGGATAGTTGCCTACAACTTGGTCTTGTAAATAAGCCCACAAAACAGTAAGAGCTTGTCCCTGTCCCCAGATAAATGCTAGCCTCTAGTGGGCTGACAGAATAGATAGAGGACTTTGCACCTTCTTCAGCAGCCTGCTGTTTTCCTGTGTTGAGCACAGAGAAAGGTATGTCCTTCAGACAGCCCTTTTGCCTTCTGTGCTAGGCACAGCAGAGGGAAGGAATTCTCCAGCCCTTCTCTACCAGCCCACTTACTTTCTTGTGTATCATTCCATGCACTTACCTGAGTACCATTCCTTATTGCTTGTGGCTGCCATCTGAGAGTTTTAATGCAAAATTCATGCACTGTGTTTTCTGGTTTTCTTTACTTGGGTAAAAGTGTTGTGAATTTAATGAACATCTGTGTGTGTCTATGAATTTGGTATACAATTGCTCAAGTTTGTCAGGTTTTCTAAATAAAATTAACCTTCTGTAAATATCGTTGTTAAGATCTGTAATTCCATTCTCTTTCTTACTGCTATTGTCTTTCTTTCTTTTTAAACAGGAAATATTGGAAATGCTTTTAATATCCACCCTATCTTAGGCAGTATTACCATCGCGAAAGAATTAGACCGCAACAGTCAGGATGAATACACTTTGATGGTGAAGGCAAGAGATAAAGGGAGCCCTCTCATGAGTGAAGTAACATCTGTGCACATTTCAGTCACAATTTCTGATAATGCAGCACCAAAATTCACAATGAAAGAGTACTCTACAGAAATCAGTGAAGGCAGCCGCATCGGCAGTTTCATTGGAATGGTTATTGCATACAGTCAGTCATCTGTAGTTTACGAGATAAAAGATGGTAATATAGGTGATGCCTTTGCTATTAACCCAAATTCCGGCGTCATTACCTCTCAGAAGACACTTGATTTTGAAACATTGCCTTTTTATAGTCTGACCATTCAGAGTACAAACATGGCTGGCCAATCAGCTAACACTACAGTACTGGTGCATCTTCAAGATGAAAATGATAATGCCCCAACTTTTGTGCAGGCAGAATACACGGGACGCGTAAGTGAATCAGCCTCAATTAACAGCGTGGTCCTAACGGACAAAAATGTCCCATTAGTGATACAAGCCATAGATGCGGACAAAGAATCCAATGCTTTGCTTGTCTATCAGATTGTGGAGCCATCTGTCCACAAGTATTTTGCCATTGATTCCAGTACAGGAGCCATCCGTACAGTAATGAGCTTGGACTACGAAGAAACAAATACATTTCACTTTTCTGTGCAAGTGTATGACATGGGAACGCCACACTTATTTGCAGAATATGCTGCCAACGTTACCATTTATGTAATTGACATCAATGATTGCCCTCCTGTGTTCTCTAAAGATTTATATGAAACATCTGTTCTCGTGCCAACCTATAAAGGAGTGAAAGTTGTCACAGTGCATGCGAAAGATGCTGACTCAGAAGCCTTTTCACAAATAATGTATTCTATCATTGAAGGCAACATTGGAGAGAAATTTTCAATCAATTCTAAGACTGGACAGATAACTGTACAAAATACAACTCAGTTAAGAAGCAGATATGAATTGACAGTCCGCGCATCTGACGGCAGATTTTTGAGCACCTCGTCTGTAAAAATTAATGTGAAAGAAAGCAAAGCTAGTCAGATAAAGTTCACACGCAGCTCCTACAGTGCTGTAGTCCAAGAGAATTCCACAGAGGCAAAAACTATAGCTGTTATCACTCCTATAGGGAGTCAAATAAATGAGCCTTTGTTTTATCATATTCTAAACCCAGACAATAGATTTAAAATTAGCTACACTTCAGGAGTCCTTTCAACCACTGGAATACCATTTGATCGGGAGCTGCAGGAGTCCTTTGACATTGTTGTGGAAGTGACATTGGAGCATAAGCCATCGATAATTGCACATGTTGTGGTAAAGGTCACTGTAGAAGATGTAAATGACAATGCCCCTGTTTTTGTCAGTCTTCCGTATTACGCAACCGTTAAAATAGATACTGAAGTGGGCCAAGTTATTCGGCGTGTTACTGCTGTTGATAAAGATATTGGTAGAAATGGAAGAGTGCATTATTATCTCAAAGAACATTATGATCACTTCCAAATAGAAAACACGGGTGAAATCTCGCTCAAGAAACCTTTTGACCCAGATACACTGAATAAAGAATATCTTCTATTGGTGGTAGCAAAGGATGGAGGAGAGCCAAGTCTTTCTGCTGAAGTGACAGTCCCAATCACCGTAGTGAATAAAGCCATGCCAGTATTTGAAAAAGCTTTCTACAGTGCAGAGATACCGGAAAATATACAGATTCATAGTCCTGTTGTGCATGTGCAAGCAAATAGCCCAGAAGGACTCAAAGTGTTTTATAGCATCACAGATGGTGACCCTTACAATCAGTTTACGATCAACTTTAATACAGGAGTTATCAATACTTTTGCTCCTCTTGATTTTGAGTCACACCCTGCCTACAAGCTGAGCGTGCGTGCCACTGATTCTTTGACTGGGGCCCATGCTGAGGTATTTGTTGACATAATAGTTGAAGACATCAATGATAATCCGCCTCTCTTCATCGAGCAATTTTATGCTGCCGCCCTTTCTGAAGCATCTATAATTGGAACATCTGTTGTACATGTCAGGGCTACAGATGCTGATTCTGGAACAAACAGAGGGATTTCTTATCACTTGGTAGAAAACAACAGCAAGAGTCATGATTATTTTCACATAGATAGTAGCACTGGGCTCATTCTGACAGCAAGGACTTTGGATTATGAACAGATTCAGCAACACACATTGCTAGTAAGAGCAATAGACAATGGCATGCCTCCACTGAGCAGTGATGTTATTGTAACAGTTGATATAACAGACCTAAATGATAACCCACCAGTATTTAACCAGCTGCTTTATGAAGCTAACATCAGTGAACTGGCTCCCCGTGGACACTTCGTAACTTGTGTAAAGGCCTCAGATGCAGACAGTTCAGATGCAGATAAACTGGAATATTCCATATTATCAGGCAACGATCATATGAATTTTGTAATCAACCGCAAAACTGGGGTCATTGCCCTTTCAAACCTGCATAAACAGACTCTGAAACCTCTTTACCATCTTAATATATCTGTTTCTGATGGGGTCTTCAGAAGTTCAGCTCAGGTTCTTATAAATGTAATTGGAGCTAATTTACATAGCCCCATTTTTGGTCAAAATGAATATGAGGTAGAACTAGCTGAGAATGCTCCATTGCATACACTGGTGACTGAAGTTACTGCAACTGACAAAGATATCGGCAGGTATGGAACGATCACATACCATATTGTGAATGATTTTGCAAAAGATAGGTTTTATACTAATGAGAGGGGGCAAATATTTACGTTGGAAAAGCTTGACCGTGAAACTCAAACTGAAAAAGTAATCTTCATTAGGTTAATGGCCACGGATTCTGGAGGGAAAGTAGCTTTCTGCAGCATCAATGTCATACTTACTGATGTTAATGATAATGCCCCTTTGTTTCGCGCATCCGAGTATGAAGTAAATATTGGATCAGATGTTCCAAGAGGTACAACTGTCGTTAAGGTTTTAGCTTCCGATGCTGATGAGGGCACCAATGCAGATATCATGTATGCAATTGAAGCAGATTCTGAAAATGTTCAAGAGAATTTAGAAATCAATCCCTTAACTGGTGTAATAACCACAAAAGAAAGCTTAATCGGTTTAGAAAATGAGTTTCTCACTTTCTTTGTTAGAGCACTGGATGGTGGAGCCCCACAAAAGGAATCTAGTGTTCCTCTGTATGTTAGAATACTCTCCCCTGAAGTCCATCTTCCAAAATTTTCAGAACCATTTTATTCTTACACTCTTTCTGAAAATACTCCTATCGGAACTGATATTGATACTATACGTGCAGAGCACAGTCATACTTTGCTGTATACTCTTGTTAAAGGAAATACTCCTGAAAGCAACAGAGATGAATATTTTGTGATAGACAAGCATAGTGGAAGACTGAAACTGGAGAAAAGCTTAGACCATGAGACAACAAAGTGGTACCAGTTTTCAGTGCTAGCATATTATATGAACGAAGATTACAAAGTGATTTCTTCAGTAGACATAAGCATTCAGATAAAAGATGCAAATGACAACCAACCAATCCTGGAGTCCAATCCATATGAAGCATACATTGTAGAAAACATGCCAGCAGGAACAAAAGTCATACAAGTGAAAGCTTTTGACCAAGATTCTGGAAGCAACGCCCAGGTTACTTATAGGTTAGAGCCAACACAAGATGCTGATATCATGGAGTCCTTTTCCATAAACCTGGAAACAGGCTGGATCACCACTCTGAAAGAGCTTGACCATGAAAGGCAGGACAAATACAGAATTACTGTGGCGGCATCTGACCGTGCTGAAAAAATGCCATTGTCTTCTACAGCGGTTGTGGAAGTATTTGTAACTGATGTGAATGACAACCCTCCACGCTTCACTGCAGAGATTTACAAAGGGACAGTCAGTGAAGATGACCCAACAGGAGGAGTAGTTGCTATTTTGAGTACCACTGATGCTGATTCAGAACATGCTAACAGACAAGTCAGCTATTTTATTACAGGTAAGTATTCGGAAATCCTGCCAAAATGCTTGGTCTTTGATATTTTTAGATAGCTATCACTGCTACAATTTCAGGTTTGTATTATCCTTCGTCCGCTTTTTGTGGGACAAAGATATCTGGTAAGAAATGACAAATTTGTGGAGCAGTGCTTAGAAACTCAGTTTTGGCATGGTAACTATATTATTATAATAACCGTGGAGCAGTTGCTGAGAATGGCCAGCCTATATCACATTTTTTTTCCTCCATATTATGATGTCATTGTGCTGTGTTTCCCCACCCTTGGTTATACCACTTGTAAAGAAATACCAGTAGAAGTCTTTCCTGGTAGAAGCAGAGAGATTCTCAATACATTGATATCGGGTGGGCATTTTTTCTCCAACTTAGAAGGGTAGGGGCAGGATAAGAACTCCACTGTGCTGTCATTTGTGCAGCATCATGTATCTGGAAGCACAGAAAACTGTTTTCTTCCCCATCGCTCCGATATGCCTTTCCTGCACTGCTTCTTCATCGTGGCCTCTGTGCATCACAGATCTGGGTGCTGCGCCTGCGCAGTGCCTAGGCTGGAAAGATTGAAAGCTAACGGTTTTGGCGGGAAAACTCCGCTCCCCTCCCCCCTCGGTAGTATATATAGAGTGGGGTGTCCACCATTTTCTCCAGTCTTTTGCGACCGCTGTTCGCTGTGCCTCGTGCCTGTTCGTCTCTCGCTCGACTCAGTATTGTTCGTTGTTTCTACTGTTCTAACATTCTTGCTCTTATTCCAAGTTATCATTCCCTTGTTACAGCTTTATCTCTCCTTTTTTTTTCTTCTTTCCTATATATATTAAAAAAAACAAACCCAAAAATATTACTTTTCCCTCTTTCCTATATTCTAATTCTCCTGTTTCTGCGATGGCGCAGCGGGCAGTCTTCCGCAAAAGTGCAGAATGTGGGTCCAAAATGTCCCCGGCAGACCCTCACAACTTGTGCCTCCTTTGCCTCGGCGAGGGGCACAGGACGGATAAATGCCACCATTGCCTTGCTTTTACTAAGCAAGAGCGAAAAAATAGGGAGAACCAATTGCGAAAACTCCTATGGGACCAAGCGCTGGTGCAATCAGATCAGCCTGCAGTAAAGCCCGGGCCAGGACATGCTCCATGTGCTAAGTGCAAGGCCGTAGCTTCGACCACGTCAGCTCAATGCCCAGCCTCTGCCTTGGACATGCCCGGACAACGCCCTTTGCCCACGCTGCCCATGCCTCAGCCGCATCCATCGGATGATGGAAATTCCCCCTCCGGGGCTCAGCAATCTCTTTCCCCCCTGCGTAAACAATGGGAAAAGAGGAAGCACGGAGGATCAGATCAATCTTCGGCCCATAACAAGGTGAAGAAAGATAAGGCGGCTAAACCACCCCATAAGAAGAAGCATAGGGATTCGGGTTCGACAGCACCATCGATCCCGGCGGCAGCTTCAGTACCAACACCATCGGTACCGATGCTTCAAGCAGCGATGCAGGTTACCCCACCAGGGTCTCCAATACAACCTGCTCCACAACAGGGCCTACCTGCTCAACTGCCTGAGGAGCCACATCGCGAGTCGATCTCCGATGGGGAGATTCAAGGCTCCCCTCCTAGGGCTCATTCTCTGACTCCTATGCCCACGGAGAGAGCCCGAGACCAATCTCCATCACCACCACCTCGGTCCCGACTGGACAAGAGGCGGGAAGAAGGATGGTTCCAGCCCTACTACAGCTACCCGTTGGGTTGGGTGAACTACCACTCCTTTGGTTTCATCCTCACCCACGGGACCGTTCCTCACCGTCCGCCCATGAGGATATGCCATCCACCTTTAGGCGGGTCAAATCTGAACGTCCCACTTCACCAGGGACCTCCTCGTTGGAGCTGTATCACCTCGGGCCCGACTCCGCCTCGGATGCTGATTCCACCTCCCCGGATGGCCTTATTACATCTCAGGGACCATCATCACCTGAAGAGCCCCATATCTCATTTGGGGAGCTCATGTCTAGACTTGTTCGGTCACTCGAGATCGAGGTGCAACACCAGCCAGATCCGAGCAGCGACAAGTTCTACGACATTGTCAGGGGAGAGCAATCACCTGCAATTGTCTTACCGCTTATTACAACTTTGTGGCAGGTGATGACGCAATCTTGGGACTTGCTTTCGCAGATTCAGCCCACAGTAAGAAGATACGAATCTATGTATCGAGTCTGAGACGATCTGTTGGACAATCTGGACTTTGTATTAACGGTGAAAAATCATCCCTTGTCCCTACACAGGTGATAGACTTCATCGGAGCTCAATTCCATGGTAGCGAGGGCGTGTCTCCCTCTAGCTCGTCAGGACAGCCTCCGCTTCTATATTTTGTATTTCTGTATTTCTGTATTTCTAAGATCCGACAAAACAATGTAGTTACAGCGCTCTCAATCCAGAGACTTTTGGGTCATATGGCTGCCATAGTCACCATTGTCCCACATGCCAGGTTGAAGTTCCATCCTCTTCAACTCTGGTTCAACAAGAACTTTCGTCCACAAAGAGATTTGCCCAACAAACCACTTCGTATGCCCTGCACTGTTGTACAAACATTAACTTGGTGGATGACCCCAGCCAATTTAAACATGGGGACCCCCTTCATCACCCCTCACCCGACGCTGACCCTATATACCAATGCTTCGCTGTTCGGGTGGGGTGCACTATGCACAGGGCTTTGATCCCAAGGCATGTGGAACCGCCAAGAGTCACTGAGTTACCTCAAGCTTCTAGCAATTTTCAAGGCACTTCGGTCCTTCGAGGAAGTTGTTCGCCATCAAGTGATACAGCTCACGTCCAACAGCATAGTGGCAGTATTCTATATCAACAAACAGGGCAGAACAAAGTCCACTGCTCTGGCCCGCCTGTCCATGGACATTTGGGAATGGTGCATCCCGAGGGGTATAACCCTTTTGGCGGTTCATCTTGCTGGGACCGACAATGAGGAAGCAGACACCTTGAGCAGACACATGTCACTCATCCACGAATGGGAACTGAATCATCATGTTTGTATACAGTTATTCCAACACTGGGGACATTCGGACATAGACCTATTTGCTACCCACAAAAACAAGCTGTGCAAAAGATTCTGCTCCAGGGCGTGAATAGGACCGGGATCGATGGGAAACATCCTTATGATCCCATGGACAACTCTCAGGTTTTACGCATTCCCGACTATTCCTCTACTGATGAAAGTCGTCTCGATGATTGTACACGACGATGCCACAGGAATACTCATAGCACCCTGGTGGCTTTGTCAAGCATGGTTTTCCACTCTCCTTCAGATCTTGAACGGCAATTTCCTTCGTCTTCCGTCCAAGATCTACTAACTCAACAAAAGGGCACTGTCCATCACCCGGACCTGTCCTCATTGAACCTCACTGCGTGGAGAATTCATTAACTCAAGAAACTGTTTCCGGACAGAGATCTACTAGGTCACTTGGTACCTCAACTCACGACCAATCTGACCCCCTCACTGACTCGGTACCGGCGGGGATATTGTCGGGACCGAGCTCTTTGGATCCAGATGTTTTAAGGATTCTCGAGTCTGCACTAAGACCATCAACTCGGAAATCCTATGCAGCGAAGTGGTGCCGCTTCTCATCCTTTGCGAAATCACGCTCATTCAATCCAATTACAGCTTCGGTTGAGAATATTCTTCAGTTTCTGCTGCAACTGCATCGTTCGGGACTGAAACCTTCCTCAATTAAGGTCTATGCAGCTGCCGTGTCACATTATTGGGGTATGGTACAAGGATTGTCGGTGTTTTCACAACCGTTTATTTGAAAATTTCTTAAAGGACTGCAAAATCTTCATCCTTCTATTTGGCCGGTTATGCCCACATGAAGTCTTTTGGTTTTTCCTTCAGGCACTTACAAGACCACTGTTTGAGTCCTTAGCGACTGTCGATATGCATCTCGTATCATGGAAGATGGCCTTCCTTGTTGCGGTTACATCAGCTCGTAGAGCCAGTGAACTTTGTGCTCTTCGAATTGATCCGCCTTATGTCAATTTCCATAAGGAAAAGGTGGTTCTAAGGATGGATCCGACTTTTTTGCTTAAAGTTGCCATGCTGTTCCACCTGAAGCAAGAGATTGTGTTACCTGCCTTCTTTCCATCGCCATCGAACCCAGTCGAAAGGTCTTTGCATACCTTGGATGTTTGATGACGCTTGGCTTTCTATAGATCACACACAGAGTCTCTTAGACACTCCAGTAGACTTTCTGTAAAGTACTCTCAACGGGACCAAGGATCACCTATTTCGTCTCAGAGACTGTCAAAGTGGATTGTTGAAACCATTTCATTAGCATACCAGCTTGCAAAGATGGACTTACCTGTTGTTCCAAGGGGTCATTCCACTAGAGCGGTGTCGGCTTCCTCCACGTTTGCTGCGGGTGTCCCGATCCAGGAGGTCTGCGAGGCCGCAACTTGGGCTACTCCGTGTACTTTCGCAAAGCACTATCGCCTTGACGTGCGTGCCAGAAGAGACTGTTCCTTCGGCAGAGCTGTTCTTTGTGCTGTTCTTCAATGATGACACTGCCCACCACCATCTCTGGTAAGCTTGCTATTCACCCATATGTGTGATGCACAGAGGCCACGACGAAGAAAAGCAGGTTGCTTACCTGTAACTGATGTTCTTTGAGTGACCATCTGTGCATTCACACAATCCACCCACTGGCCCTGCCCAGCGTCGGTGAGTGGTTTCTTCATCGGTACCGTATGATACTGCTTCGGTACCTCATACTTTATTATGTCATCGGTACCGTGGGTGACTACGGCGGTACTTGATAAGTTGTTATGCCATCTTCTTCTGTGAGGTGGCGAACATTCGGTCTCCAAAGACTGGAGAAAATGGCAGACACTCCGCTCTATATATACTACCGAGGGGGGAGGGGAGCAGAGTTTTCCCACCAAAACCATTAGCTTTCAATATTTCCAGCCTATGCACTGCGCAGGTGCAGCGCACCCATATGTGTGAATGCACAGATGGCCACTCGAAGAACATCTGTTACAGGTAAGCAACCTGTTTTTATCATCTCTGCAGCACAGTTGAACAAATGTTCGATATAATTATTGGCAAGGATTCCATATCGAAAAGATTCCCTTGAAGGAGTCAAGACAAGTTTAAAAGCGCCTCCATTTATTTGCTGGGTCCATCATGTCTTTTGCAGTGCTGATTTTGTTTGCATGTGGACACTTAATTGCTCGTGATGGGAGAAGGAGGGATCTTTTGAGGCCACAATACCAAGATGGCTCTTCTTTAGCTGTGTACTGCATAGAAGGCTCTCATCCTCTGCCCATCACACATGTCAGAACTGAGAGCTGCAGAAGTGATTTCTGCCTTCCATATGCAAGCACTGCAGTTCCAGAATGCATTCCTTTGCTGTACAGTCTAAGCCAGTCTAGCCTTTTTCAGATGAGTGACTTTCTATTATTAATTGTTTAGGAGGTGATCCACTGGGACAGTTTGCTGTGGAAAATATACAGAATGAATGGAAAGTATACGTCAGAAAGCCTCTGGACAGAGAAGTAAAAGATCATTATCTTCTAAATATCACAGCTACTGATGGGATGTTTGCAACAAAAGCTGTTGTGGAAGTTAAAGTTCTTGATTCAAATGACAATAGTCCTGTTTGTGAAAAGGTACTAGTATTGGTAGTGACACCACTCCTTAGTTCATATCCCAGTCTCTTATGCAATTGCTTAATACTCCTGCATCCCAAATATTATATTCTTTCAGACATTATACAATGAAGCTGTTTCAGAAGATTCACCACCGGGCAAACTCATCATGCAGGTCTCAGCCACAGATGCAGATATTCGTTCCAATGCAGAAATAACTTATACACTGCATGGTTCTGGAGCAGAAGACTTCATGCTTGGACCCGAGACAGGTAGTGTTCAGAGGCTGTTACAGACTAGGGGTGCAATACTAACCTTCTGGTGTTAATGGGCGGAGGGGGATAGTGTTCTGTGTTTTGGGTTCTCTGTTGGCCTCAGTCTGCAGAGATGAGCACCACTGAGAGGCAGATATGCTGCAGTAGGAAAGGCCTCTGCTGCACTGTGATGGATGAAGAGCTACCACTCGTGGTCCTTGCATGGAACCATGTGGTCCTTGCATGGGAGACAAATCCCAGACAGGGTGTTTCCTGTGCAGCTTTGGAAAGGACCCTGCTTTCAAACTAGAGCTATTGCATTTTCCTGCATGGGCTAAATCGAGCATCAGCTTAGCAGTGCCATACCTGGAGATAGAGTAGCTGAAATTGTGAAGACCGAGGTCTGTCAAGCGCTCTCCCACACATGTTTTCAGCCTTGGCTGGTGTGACCTGTCGCAGTGTTGAACATGGCCGGAGCTCTCAGCCCTATTTGAGTGTTCTGCCTTTAATTACTTCTCCTAGATGTTTGAATGGTCAGGCATGTGGCATAGAGAAGACAAAGGCATGGTGAAGGACAAAAAGTGAATCAAAATATTGTTGGCCTGTTACACCCACTTGTTTGAATAGGTCTCGCTTTCAGCAGATGCATTAACTGAGTTACTTTACAGTTCAATCCTTTGTGTATTTGCTCAGAAGTCTCACAAAATTCAGTGCTCATAAGTGTATTTAGATTTGCATCTTTAATTATTATAACAAAGACTATTTTATACATGCAGCTCTGGTTGTTCCATTTTGTTTCATTTGTTAATGCTTGAAATTGTTATAATTCTATCTCTGTTCTGATTCCATGATTACCATTGCACAACCTTGATGAATATTCTGTATAATTTGTTCATTATTCATTTGTTACCTTTGTAAGCTGTCCTTTCCCAGAAGCTCAAAGTGGTATAAAGGTTGACCATGAATAGAGACACAAATCCTGGCTCCCACTTCCTAGCCCTATACCTCATTCTCTCAAAGCTGATGAGAGGGACACTGCTGATTTCTAGAATAACATTTTTAGTATATTCATTTCTTGCCCTAATCATAATGTGTACATTGAATTCTTGTGAAACAGTAGTTTTTTGAAAGCTGCTTCAAGAGATTCGACTGTTACTATATGGTCAGATATAACAGAATTCAGTATAGTGAGTTTCTAAATCTATGTAGAATTGAAGCTACCACCATCTATAGCATTGCTTCCCTGTCCCACCACAACACATTTCACAGTCTCCTGTGCCTTAGTGGCTTATCTTTTTCACTTGCCATGTTCCATAGCCAACCTGAGGCATTTAAACTTTTCCAGGATAGCCAATACTTTGCAGGAATGTTCTTTGAGAAAACCCACTAGGGTTAGGGCAAACCCTAGTGGAATCCATTCTTCTGGTTTTTGCAGACTTCCTCTCATGCTCAGCCCCTGTCTTGCAAAGCAAGGTGAGCCAAGAGGAAGCCTGAAAGCATGAATAAAATGAAGGTTCTGCAACCGACAACTTTTCTTGTTGCAGATGGCACAGGAAAAGGACACTGGTAGTGGTTCTGCAGGTCTCTGTTCCTGGTGAGCCCTGTTCAACCAGTCTTCAGTGTCCCATATGGCTCCATTCGCAGCAAGTCCAACATGACCACTAGCAGCATCTCTCTACCATGCCAGGGGTAGCATGCTTGGGCTGCTGCACCTGACACAGGAGAGGGATGCTGCTTGTGGAGCACATGGGTTCAGTTCCTGTCAAGTGCCTGCAACATTTGGGCATGCTCACAAGGAACTAGGACTCAGGGTCACTGCAAAGTAGACCAGAGTCAGGGAAGCTGACAAGGGAATTCAGCAGTTTCCCATCCCCAAATGTATTCTTCACACATCTTAATACCCATGTCACTTGAATCATTTGTAGGAAATCTGAAAAGCTTTCCTATTTTTCCAAACCAGTTTTGTGGTTTGTAGCATCACTCAAATGTGTGCACTTCTTTTAAGTACTTGAATGGGCAGAGGGTAGTTTTGTGGGTCTGTCTTTAAATATCCTTTATCACTGTGGATTTATGCCATTGGTTCTAGGGATTTTCCTCATATAAAACATATATATATATTGGCCAGCATATGGGGGGACCCAAAAAAAAAACCTCCAGGAATTTATTTATAAAGAAATCATGTATTTATTTTTACATGTTCAGTCTTGAGACTCTGCATTTGATGCAATACATCTATTGTGTACTCTGCGTTTGATGCAATACACCTGTCAAGACTTCTTTCCATTGCTCAAATAGGTTTTGAACTTGTCGATTTGATGGTTTTAGTGCTTCTGCCATTTCTTGTTTCACCTCTTCCACATCAGCAAACGTTTCTCATCCAAATTCTAACAAAAGAAAAAGTTGCATGGGGTGAGATCGGGTGAATAGGGAGGTAAAAGGGTCATGCTGTTTTGAGTCAAAAACTGCTGAACACTCAGCCGAACATAATTTCACTGCAGCACATTGTTCATGTAAATCAGCCATCACAAAATAGGCAAACACTTTGAGTCTCCAAAAAAGCCTCTCTGAAGCGAAAAGCAGCCTCTCACAACAATCCAGCTGGGTACACTGATGCGGATGGATTCCTAGAACACTCACCTAGCAGGGGAAGCCTGTATTACAAGGGGGCCGCCCTCCAGAAGATAGTTCCTGTTTTTTGGGGGTCTCCTCTAGTAGAAATCAGATAAATCAATAATTTTTTACTTAATACTAAAAACTCAACTCAAAAGTTTAGTTTTAAGATTAATCTCATATCCTTTGTGGGATGCTCAAATGCTGTTAATGCCCTTTCTTGGCTTTGTTTTTTGTCATTTCATTTACAGGTGAACTGAAAACCTTAGCAACGCTTGACCGTGAGCAGAAATCTGCATATACTCTTATGGTCAGGGCTTCAGATGGAGGAGGAAGATTTTGTCAAGCCAGTATTATTCTGAATATAGAGGATGTGAACGATAACACCCCGGAGTTCACAACCGATCCATATTCTGTCACAGTATTTGAAAACACTGAGCCAAAAACTCTGCTGACAAGAGTTCAAGCTACTGATGCAGATGCAGGTATGACTTAATGAGAAGCATTTCTAATACAGCCGCGCCACTGGAATAATTCATAACTAATCTGAATTTGTTTGCTTGTTGTATTTCGTAGCTTTAGCCCCTTTTGAGATTCATTCTGTGACTCAGATATGCAGATATAAGTGTTGCAGGGCATAACATCCCTTACTCCCAACTGAACATCCCAGTGCATTCCCTGTATGGAATTTGTTGTTCATAAGCCCATATAAATGACTGGCCTTAGGTGCATATGAGATCAACCTATAAGCTTCATAATACACAATCTTCCAGCCAGTAGGGCAGGTCTAGAGATCCTAGCAGGCAGTCCAGGGGGCACTTTTGCCCCCCTCACCAGCATCCCACAGGTTGCCCCCCCCCAAAAAAAAATCTGGTGGCAATCCAAAACTAGCTTGTTCTGAAGCTGAAGCTGACCTTTTAGCACTCTGTAATGCAGAAGCTACTTTTTTCTGGCCATTGCCACCAAATTCAGTGTACAATGAGGCTTATATGCAGCCCGAAGGCCTTGTGTTGCCCATGTGTGCCCTAGTGAAAAAGGCATATTTGCTGCCAAAAGGTTGTTGCTTTTATTTCTGGATGCTTGGAACCTATTACCAGGGTCAGGGTCACCTCGCTGGCAGATAGCCACCCAAATCAGCCTCATGGTCATGGGGTGATTGTAGCTGATGGCTTGACTTGACATGAACACACACATATTCTTACGACACTGGAGCCCATGCACTCAGCAGGTGGGGTGCCTTTATGAAAGGCTGTTTTGACCAAACCTTTGTGCAAATGTGTATGTGATTACTGTGTGCATAATATGATGTTTCAGTATTCTTCATATTTTTCCATATAGATTGTGTGCATGTGTATGCAGCAAATCGGAATAGTGGCTTAAGAAATCCATTACAGAATACCATTGAAAGACTTGCTTTTTTAATTGTAGGTTTAAATCAGAAGATTCACTATTCCCTGGTAGATTCTACAGATGGACATTTTTCTATTGATGAATTCTCTGGGATTGTTCGATTGGAAAAGCCTTTAGATCGGGAGTTACAGGCTGTGTATACGCTGACTTTGAAAGCTGAAGATGAAGGTTCCCCTAGAAGGCTGTCTTCTCTTGGCACTCTTGTGGTTTCTGTTCTGGATATAAATGACAATCCACCTGTCTTTGAGTACAGAGAGTATAGTGCAACTGTATCAGAAGACGCCATGATTGGAATGGAGATTCTTCAAGTCTATGCTGCTAGCCGAGACATTGAAGCCAATGCAGAAATTACTTATTCCATAGTCAGTGGGAATGAGCATGGGAAATTTAGTATTGATTCAAAAACAGGTAATCACCTATTGCTGCTAATGGGTAGGAAAATGAACAGAATTAGTAACTGACATGTAGGTTTTTATTTTTGTTGTTTAATCGCAAAGTCATGCCCAATCCATCACAACCTCATGGGCAATATTCCTTGCTTTATTTTTACCTCCACACAGTAATTACTGTCATTTACATTCCTGTACCACCCATAGCCAAAGCTCTGCTGGCAGTTTACAACTATAATCATAGAATCACACACTCAGGTCACCCATCCAGATTCTAGCCAAGCCTGAACCTGCTTAGCTTCCAAGATTAGGCATGATCAGGCACTTCATACTATTTATGATGCTAATGAACAAATTACATGTAGTCAAATATTATTCATTCAAGTCTGAGAAGATGAAAGTCATTAAGATAGCAAAAATGTGGGATAAATTGTTGTTATGTGCTGTCAAGTCATCTCTGGTTTATAGCAACACTTTGAACAGAAGTCCTCCAAAAGGACCTATTCATGACATCCCTGATTAGCTGTTGTAAATTCAAGGCTGTGGCTTCCTGTATAAAGTCAGTTCATCCCTTACTTGATCTTCCTTTTCTTCTTCTGACCTCAACTTTCCCTAGAATGCTTCCAGAGATGAGGGCACAGTTTCACCTCATGCCATGAAGCAATATCCTTGTGTGTAAGAAACACAGGTCTGAAATATAGGCTTTGCGAACATGAGCAGGTCTTAATGGGCTCCTCTTGTTTGCTTGCATATCATCTTAATTGTGAAACGTCCGCTATTTCAGCAGCCTTGATGGCAGTTTGTCACATTAATAATGTGACAAAAGATACTAGACTAATAAAAGGTACCAGAAAATGGTTTGCCATAGGTCTAAAATATAATAGTCTCAATTCAGCTTCACTGTGTGTTATTAGAAGAGTGTTTATTCCGGCCTGAAGATACATGGGAATTGCTCTAACTTTGAAAACAGGTCTTTGCTTTCCTGAGCAACACTTCCACTTAATTTGTGTGCTCCACAAAGCAAAGAGATGCAATGGTGCATTATGATATTTGAAAGACATTTGAAAACAGAAGTGCTCACTGGCCCTGAAATAGCTTACTGATTACTTCTTTATTGTTCCAGTCATCAAGGTATTTGCCTTAATAGAAAAGTGTTTAGCGTGTGGTTTTTTCTTCTAGGTGCCATCTTTATTATTGGGAGCCTTGATTACGAGAGCTCCCCTGAGTACTATCTGACCATGGAAGCCACAGATGGAGGGACACCATCCCTGAGTGATGTGGTAACGGTGACCATCAATGTTACAGATATCAATGACAATACGCCAGTGTTCAGTCAGGACACATACACGGCAGTCATCAGTGAAGATGCCGAAGTGGAACAGTCTGTTATCTCAGTAGGTCTCTTCATTCTCCCTTGCCCTGACATATTCTTATATACTTCTTATGTTCTAGAAAAAATTAAAATTATTCTTAAGAGGTGCTATATGGGGTGGTATTGTTCTCTAATGACAAAGATTTTTGAAATATTAATTAACAGGGAGGGTCTAAGAACATCAGAGAGTCCAAAATAATTGTTGTGTGAACTGTTCTGCATTATGAGTGCAATTTTACTGAGATTAAAGGCAAATTAATTAACTGGCAGCTTGTTTGTTTATATATTTCTATAGTGTCCATCAGCCAAAAAGGCTGTATGGATGGTTCTGGATATTCAGCATATGTCCTGAATATCAGAATTTTTATTTTAAGAAGCTGAGCTTATTGGAAATATGCCTGTGTCTTCATGGACTTGCTTTAAATGAGAACTGGATGCCCTCTAGGTTATGGCAGCTGATGCTGATGGACCCTTGAACAACCACATCCGGTACTCAATTATAGATGGCAACCAAGGGAACCCTTTCACAATTGACCCCACCTTGGGCGAAGTCAAAGTGGCTAAACCTCTTGACAGAGAGATGGTAAGCTGCTACATGTTGAGATTGCTGCATAATCCTCTGTCCGTATTGCTGCATGATATCCATTTGTTTCAATTACGTTTTCATACAAATGATCTTAACAAGAGGGAAGGGAGATCTGAGCGTGTCACTGAGTGGTGAGATCTGGTTCTTGCTGCTGCAGTTTCATCCCCAGGCAGTTCTTTAATGAAGGAGGGAGAGCAGAACTTAAGCCATCCTGGAAATCACAGCTTCTGTCCCGAAAGCCTTTCTTACATAGATTAACTAAATTTCAACACTCCTATGTAATGCATATTTTGGACAAATTATAAGATTATGATCAATAATAATCAACTGCACTACTTATGGGCATACTCTTTTATTGGAGTTGATAATATCAAGTAAGCTCTAGTGATTGTGAATCTGGTGAACCAAAATGTAAACAAGGACAAGGTACAAGCAATAGAATATTGCCGTTAAAGGTGGAGTACTGGTGGGAAAGGCAATGGCTTGGTTCAATCATCAGCAGCCTAGTCATCCAAACCATGTTTTATTGGCTCAGTAGAATGCCTTCCCTTTCATGGAGGTTCTCTCCTCCATTTCCCAGCATTCTTTAACAATTCCTAGTTGTTAAGTCTGAATTGGCACTTCTGATTAGCATTTTCTCTTCAAACCATTGCTCATAAACCCACTTCAGGCCTTGGTTGGAGGCAACATATTAAGTACAGTTTGCCAATTCAGACATCACATCAAAGAGAAAAGCTTTGCATCCTAGTGGAGGATGGAGCATGCAGTTTTACAGCATGCTGAATCCTGTGTGTGCTCAAGAGAATCAGGTTCATGATGTCGTGAGAGTGGCCAGTCTGAGAAGTTATCTCATGGAAGGACCAAGGATTAAGGTTGAGATGTGTTGTCGAAGGTGTGTAGTTGATGTTGTAATAGGCAAGTGATCAGAGCTGAACTCTTTGTGTGTGTGGAAAAAGAAGTCTCCAGGTGCTATATTGTACGTTTGCAATCTTCTGCACAAAACATCTTTATACAACAGCTTCAAAATATGTGGTTTCTATTGCTTTTTATTTTATTTAACTGCTCTTTCCTTTTAATGTACGTGTGTGTGTGTTTTACTCTTAAGATCTCAGGTTACACTCTGACAGTTCAAGCATCAGACAATGGAAACCCACCTAGAATCAACACAACTATGGTCAATATTGATGTATCTGATGTAAATGACAACCCACCCATATTTGCAAAAGGGAATTACAGTATTATTATCCAGGTAATTTATGTAGTGGTCTGTAGCATTTGATATCTGATCTTGGGTTTTTGTAGCACTGGTGCACTTCCACCATAATTTTGACTGGGTTCAATCGTAGCCTGGATGAGGATGCATAAACTAAGATTAAATCCAAACAGTGCAGAAGCACTGCTGGTCTGGCTCACAAACTGAGACTTCATCCCTAGCTTGGGACTGAGTTCACCTGGATCCTGCACAGTCCCTGGACTCTAAACTGGCAAGAGTTTCCCACATGGGGTGGGACACTCAGCTATAGATTCACTGAAAACCAGGGTTGGAATGAATAGTGGTAAATGTTGCCAGTTATCTATTTGCAGGGCCCCTTTGTATTACAGTCCAAATACGTACGCTCAAATTGACTTGTTAAAAGCCCTGAACATATTCCCAAATGTAACTTGCCATGCCAAGAATAGTGTTACAGTGTCATCTGAAGGCTGGATTTGAAATGATAAGGACTCTTGGAATTTGCACTACTCAAAGTCAAACAATTACATTTCAATGCACTCAAGAGAGGAGAAAGATTGTAATGTTTATTGAGCTGAAGCAGCAGGGAGAAGTTGGCAAATGTACTATTTTAAATACAGATATGAGCTGCCCATGAGCTTCACACAGAGAAATGCACAGAAAGAGGACACTGTGCTGTCTGACAAGAAAGAAGGGCACTGGAAGATTTGGATTGCGACTCTTTGCCATGATCCTGCCCTAATAATGCAGTGCTTCTAAACTTAGAAGCTGGTTAGTTAAGATATGAAGAGTGTTATAATCTGCTTTGATTTGAAATAGAAATCCCTCCTCTGAATGCCTCCTTCCTTTGATAGTATTATAACTTTATAGAGTAGATGTGAGCAGATTGATTCCCTCATCGTCAGAATATTGAATTCTGTGTTTTAAGATTGTTAACAATGAGTATTATACTTGTGATGTCTGAATATTTAATTCAACTATAGCAACAATACAGGTGCAGAATTAAAGGTTCCTCATTGAAGTAACCTTCAAAAGAGCTGAGTAGGGCAGTCAAGGGCAGGACATGTTGGAAGGCATTTATTCATAGGGTCACCGTATGTCAAAGACAATTTGACAGCGCTTTACAACAACAAATAGTATGACGTGGAGTTGATGGCCTTGGACATGATAGGGTTACACCATAAATGGATGAGCCAGACAAAGACGGGAGACAGTAAGCTTTGTCCTCCTTCAACCAGATAGGAAGTGGAATGACAGAGAGATTAAAAGATTTGCTTCACAAGGAGGTTACCACACAGGCAGGAAGTAGTCCAGGATCTTTTGACTGTCAGTCGTTTTATACATAGCAACTGTCCTACTAGGTCAGCTCATTGTCCCGTCTAATGCTGCAGCCAACCTCAGCAGTGCCTGTGAGAGAGCTCACAGCAAAGCAAATCGGAGGGAACTACAGCTCTTTGAAACTAGTTCACCAGTTTTATCTGTTTTTCCGAGGTCCTGCCTGATGCATAGGTTGTGCTTGGTGGAATTTGGCATATACCCAGGCCAGGTTGTTTTATGTGTTTGATGTGGGTGGAACAGGGACCGAGTGTCTGTGCCTAAGCAACATACCTTCTGTTTGAAGAATACCCCACATTTGGTGGGCAAACTACGGTTCCCATGCTATTGACAGTTAGAACTTCATTTATTTGCTAGCATTTATAAAGCAAGTTTTTCACATTTTAAAGAAAGTACTCTTTTCTATATGAAGTACTGTCTGTAAACTAATGAATTGGGTTCCTTGTAAGAGGAAGAAGGGTGGGATCTAAGGTACATAAGGCATCCACCATGTTGAAACTAAGGAGGTTTGGGCTGGCCTGAGCTTGGAGGGGAGACCACCTGGGAGCCGCATGTTCTACAAAGAAAACACATTCATTTTTCTCCCAGTGTTATATCTCAGTCCTACGTGTGATTCCAGGATAGGGGCACACAATTTCCACTGAACCTTTTTCACTCAGAACTCTGAAATTTCTTTTTGATTTTTTCTCCCAAAGAGAAATTTCACCATCTGTGTAAGTAAACAGCACCCACAGTGTGGGTTTTCTCCCTTCCATTATTTGCACTTTTATAAAGCCAGGTACACAGTGTGCGTGCTTTCTCTCAGAAATGTTGGAAATGTAATTTGGGGTCTGGCAACTCCTAACTTGAGGGTGCATGCATGTAAATCAGCCTTCCCCAACCTTGTGCCTTCCAGACACATTTGGACTGCAATACCCAGAACTCCCAGTCAGTGGCCCTGCTGGATAGAAATTCTGGGAGTTGTAGTCCAAATGCTTCTGAAGTCCTCCAGAATAGGGAAGGGTGGGGTAAATAGGGACCATTATAAGAAGAATTATTTCCTCTTTTGTACTTTGGGTCCAGTTAACATAGTTGTTTGTATAGAGGACGTTATAGTCGCCACGTGATGGCCAGTTTAATCACAGTTTTTGATGCTTATTGCATCAGAGTAAGCCATCAGTAAGGAGACTGTGGTACTAGGACGAATGACAAAAACCATTTTATACTGTAGGGACAAAATTGCCCTTCTCACACAGTGAAAGCCTGTATGCACCTGAATAGATTCCTCACCGATGCAGAAAGTATAGCAACATTAACAAAGCAGCATTAACTCATCCTTATGAGACACTCTGGTTAATAAAAGCGTATTCCAGTATAAGATCCACTTCTGCAACTTCTTTCTGTCTGAACAGGAAAATAAGCCTGTTGGGTTTAACATCCAGCAGCTGGTGGTGACAGACAACGATTCTTCCCACAACGGGCCACCTTTCCTTTTCACCCTTGTGAGTGGAAATGAAGATAATGCTTTTGAGATTAACCAACAAGGCGTACTTTCCACTGCCATTCAGCTAAAACGCAAAGTGAAGGATCATTATTTTCTTCACATTAAGGTATGAAACGCTATAGTGTGTGCTTGGAATATATTGGAATCCTTTTGCTACTGTTGGTGGCGGTTGTAGATATTTAATGGCCTCTGTGAGTGGAGCAAGGCGTGATTTAGTTTGGAGTCCATAAATCACTGTTGCTAAACTGAAGTACCTTCATGGTGGTTACCCTGAAGCCTGTCCACTCAGCAACACTTGAGAGCAAGGGATGATGCTCTGTATTTCCTAAGAACGGCTTCCTATCAGCAGGCAGATTATCTGTACAAATAATCATTCACATAACCTTGGAAAAAGGAATTCATGTGACATTCTCCCAAGTCCTGTTCTTTGAACTGACTTAATGATGCTCCTGGCTTAAGTTCCAGACTTAACACTGCTTGTGTTACACACAAGTAGTCATTTCAACAAGTGGACCAACTCATACTCATGGGAACCACTTCTGAAGTCACAAGTATGAAGCTTCAGAAAAACCAGAGTGGAGGCTAAAACATTCTTAGCTTAACCTGAACTCCAGAGGAAGGGAGTGGAGAAAACAACTAGGATTTACCTTCTTGTTTGTTTGTAGTTGCTTTTGTATACCGTTCAACAGTCTTACATGGTTCCCAGAACAGTTTACAAAAATATTTTGTTGAATATTCAGTAACATTTTTAGGAAATCATTATGGTATAACTTGTAACAATATCAAAAAATTGTCCGTTAAATAGTTTAATGTGTGAATAATTTAGTGTGAATAGTTAAGTTTAAAAAAAAGAGAATGTTGAATATGAAGAGTGTTTCAAGCGCCATCTGCTGCTTCAGATTGGCTACTGCATCACTTTACTTTTTCTGTTGCAGTCCAGAACATTCTGAATTACGGGGTGCCCAGAAACTTAAGGTTTGGGGCAGAGGGGGAGATGTATTCTAGAATATAATTTTATTCTAGTTTTTATTCTGGATTTATGTTCCCACTTCAAAAAAGGCCCTAACCCTTTTACTTAATAGCTTCTTTAATGCACTTTTATCCTATTGTTCTGAAATAAATGAAATAATCCTAAGGCTATGTTAAAACTGCCTTGAAAGGGCAATTGCTTTGTTCTGTTAACATCAGTTCAGCTGTGCGCAAGGGGATTTCCTGCATATATGTAAGCTCTCAGTTTAATTGCTGAGTGAGCTGTATACACAAGGGAAATGTGTTTAGTGATTGGAAGCTTCCATTGCAATGAATACGGAAGCTCTTGTAAATAGAGAGTGTTCTGTGTATGTAACTGAGACCTTAGAACAGGCACCATCTGCAGTCTTTTCTGTACTCCACATTCACAAACAGATCTCTCCAGCTCTCAGCTGTGTGCCCTACAGAGATCAGGGATGGGAAGATTTCAGGCTTACAGGATCTGCAAGCTTAGGTTTGGTGAGAATCTTAATATTCATCAGCTGAACGCAAATGAAAAATAGTGATTATGAGGCCCCCAGGTACTTAGAACTAATGACCAGGCTACTGCAGGGCATGTGTTCACCCCTGGATTTATTTGTTTATTTATTAATTTATCCCCCTCCCCTTCCCTGAGTGTGAGAACTGAGCTTTCACTCACAAACTCATTCTTGGTTTTTTCCCCAGCCCTCTTCAGTTCAGCTATCTAAGCTAAGCTAGCATAGACTTCTCCATTTGTTTCTTTTCCCTGACTGATCTATTGCAGATCACGCAAAGATCTACCTTCTTCCTACACCTGCCATAGATTACTGTTTAGCAATTGCACAATAGTGAGACGTCCATGCAGTCATGAATGGGTCTTGGTTGCTGTCCACAAATTGAAAGCAAATTGCACTCTTTTGAGATGACAGTTCATTGCTATTCACTAATAATCCTGCCAAGATGTATGCTGATGCAGAAGCCCTTCACCTCCTTAATTACCTGCACCGTATAATGCTTCTAGTTAAAAGCTGATGAAATGGAGCAGAAATTCATTTGCTGTTTACTGTTTTCACTAGGTGGCTGATAATGGAAGACCTCAGTTGTCATCTTTGACTTACGTTGACATCAGAGTCATTGAGGAAAGTATCCATCCTCCAGCGATTCTGCCATTAGAAATCTTCATCACAACATTTGGGGAAGAGTATGCTGGTGGTGTTATTGGAAAAGTGCACGCAACTGACCAAGACGTTTATGACACGTTAACGTATAGTCTGGATCCCAGTGTGGAAACCCTGTTCTCTGTCTCTGGTGCAGGAGGCAAGCTAATTGCTCATAAAAGGCTCGATGTGGGGCAGTACAATCTGAATGTTAGTGTGACAGATGGAAAATTTACAACTGCAGCTGTCATTACAGTCCACATCAGACAAATCACACCAGAGTTGCTGAATCACAGCATAACCATCCGTTTTGCTAACCTTGCTCCAGAGGAATTCATTGGAGACTACTGGCGCAATTTTCAGAGAGCGTTAAGAACTTTCTTGGGAGTAAGAAGAAGCGACATACAGATTATTAGCCTGCAACCCTCTGATCCCCCATCAAACCTTGAGGTGCTGCTGTTTGTTGAAAAGTCGGGTAATTCTCAGCATTCAACCAGAGCCCTTGTCCACAAGATAAACGCCTCTGTGGCTGACCTTGAAGAGATCTCAGGCATCCAGATACTTAACGTTTTCCACAAGCTCTGTTTGGGCCTGGATTGCCCTTGGAAATACTGTGAAGAAAAAGTGACCCTGGATGAAAACATCATGTCCACCCACAGCACTGCCCGTCTGAGTTTTGTCACACCGCATCACCACAGAACTTCCATTTGTCTCTGTAAAGGTAAAGAAAGTATGCATAGGAGGAGAAGAAATGATCTGAGGATTTAGTAGTTAAAGACTTAAGTGGTATATACATTAAATACAACCATCAGCACCTGGTTGGACCCTGTCATAAGCATACCAGATTTATGAGCAAGGGAAGGAAAGAAGGACTCATACTATTAGCTTTTACATTATAAAAGAACTCTTTAACACTTAAGAATTCCTTTTCTCCCTTTACCAAACCTTCATGGCTTTAAGTAATCAGCACAGCCATTAAAAGAGAATATTCTAACTGTATTATTGGGAAAAAATGCACAGCCTTGAATATTTGGATTACTAACCTTAAGGGGTATGGAAACAGTGAAAATGTGTGCATGGATTTACATAGGTAACAAAAATAATAGTGTTTTGCTTGGTAGAAAAAAAGAACACAGTATCAGGTAAGCAATTCTCCTAGCAGGAGCTGATATTACAGCAGTTAAGAAATTCAATATCTCCTGTGATGTCTTGCTGCCTGGCTTATTTTCCATATCACCTGCTTTAATACATCTATCATTTTCATCACCTGTTGTGTCTGAGCAAAATTAGGCTTTAAAAATGCCTGTGGTTGTAAGGAAAGGGTAAATGTAAAACTTTTTTTATCTTGCATATTTTGTAGAGGAAAGGTGTCCCCTTGTGAACACTGCCTGTGAGGGGAACCCATGCCCCGAAGGGACTGAATGCATAGCAGACTCTAGAGAAGAAAAGTATACCTGTGTTTGTCATGGAAGCAGTACTGCACAATGCCCTGGTAAGATTTCAGCTTTTAATATCTTTTGGCTGAGAGCTATCGCCTTCTCACACAGACGGGCAGTTTTGAACCGTATCTGCTTCTTTGTCGTCTTTGTTCAAGTATCAGCTGGACCAGCAGTGACTTTTACTGGAAGCAGCTATGTGAAGTACCGCCTCATGGAAAATGAAAACAAAGAAGAAATGAAGCTCACCCTGAGGCTCAGAACATACTCCGCTCATGCAGTTGTCATGTATGCCCGAGGAACAGATTACAGTATCTTAGAGGTATGTAGCACCAAATGCTAAACAGCTTTAATTATCAGAGAAAGAATCTTTGCCCTTGCTTTTAAATCTCATTTACATCTACATTGTTGCAGGCTTGGAAAGCTTGATTTCATTCAATTCAGTGTTCTCTCACTTATAATTACTCTAGGATGTCCTGCATTAAGCAGATAAAAGAGAGTAAGGATGCAAGCATGCCTATCCCAAGTTTATATAGGATTGTACCTTAAAAGTTTGTCAAAATTGGTGATGCCTTTTAGAACGTTGGAAAATATCCTTCATACAGTTGGATGGCAAAGTCTATATCATGTGACCTTTGACGCCACTGACTGGACTTAGGAGAGTTGTAGTCCAAATTAAGTGGAGGGCACTAAATTGCCTAATCTCACTACATACCTACCAGTGTATCCACACACTCTGCTGCTGCCGCTTCTGGCAGCTCCTGCCAAGAGATGCTCAGACACCTGTTACCCAGCATAACCAAAGCATGAGAAAGGGGGAGACATGCTTTCAGGTCCCATGTTCAGGGTTGATCTCTTACTGGAGGCAACTTAAAGCTGAAGTGCACTGGGACCTTATAGCGCTAATGGTCTATATCACTAAATGTGGCATATTGCTTTTCTTCTCTGCTTAGATCCACCATGGGAGGCTCCAGTACAAATTTGACTGTGGAAGTGGTCCTGGGATTGTGTCAGTGCAGAGCATTCAGATCAATGATGGCCAGTGGCATTCGGTGTCTCTTGAAGTTGACGGAAACTATGCCAAGCTAATTCTGGACAGGGTGCACACTGCGTCTGGTATTGCTCCCGGTACACTAAGGACACTGAACCTGGACAACCATGTGTATTTCGGTGGTCACATTAGGCAGCAGGGTGCAAGACATGGAAGGAGCCCCCAGGTCAGCAATGGCTTCAGAGGTTGTATGGATTCCATTGTGCTTAATGGCCAAGAATTGCCCCTAAACAGCAAACCACGGAGTTATGCTCACATGGAAGAATCCGTGGATGTTTCTCCTGGGTGCTTACTGTCTTCTACGGAGGATTGTTCAAGTAGTCCATGCCAGAATGGGGGCATTTGTAATCCGCTACCCAGTGGAGGTAATTGTTCTTTTCAGTATTTACTTTACATTAAATAATACTGTTTTGATGGCTGAACTGATTGTGCTGTGGCCAGTTTCATCTAGTTTAGATGTTGTGTGTTTGAAAACTCTGTTAGTTACTATCAGAAAGAAGTAAGAGTTATTATCAGTCACTGAACTGAGCTAAACCCAGGTTTTATTGTACTGTGCCTTCTCTCTCACGCTCTCTCTTCCCTCCACCCACCAGATAGTTATATGGGGTTCCATGTCTAATAGCTCTAAATCGACAATGGCTGGCTCCTCTGAAAAGCCAACAAAAAACAAATAATAATAAAAAAGAAATGTTTGCACAAATCTAAGCATGCCCAAAAAAAAAAAAAAAAAAAATCAGGGATACATGACATTTTTGAAGGTGCTATCACGTTCAGATCATGAAATCTGAACACCCTCCATTAAAAAAAGGGGGAAATGCACAGTATGTGCAAAAAAGCTCACACTCTCCAGCAGGAGAGGAGATGCCTTCTTCTGCAGATCCCCTTGGGGTGAAAGGACCAGTCTACTATGAGCTTGATCATCCGTCATGTGCACCAAGGGTTCTTCACCAAACATTTGTTCCATGTGGTTTGTCCCAATGCAGGTTGTTTGGAAAAATTGTGTACCAGGAACAACCCATATTGTGTAGCTTATTTGGACATCCTGTCATGTGAACACAATTATTTTTCCCTAAGGATTATGAGAACATACAATTTGCTTGAAATGGCTATCAGCAATATGATTTGTTGATTGTGTTGACTGGTTATATCAGTCACATGCCTGCTTAAAGCTTAAACTGGCTCTTCTTACTTTCTTGGGAGCTTGTAAATGTGTTCAAGTTTCTGTATACTTAGAATTAGCAATGAGTGAGGAATCTGATTTGCAATGAGAATGGATCAGACTTCCTCTGCTTGGTTCCCTGTACTCTGGCCCACTTTCTTTCTGCCCTGTTTGTTCTTACTGAATATTTGCATGGTGTCTGGCATGAAGCGAGTCCACAAGGTCAGCTTGCATGCACACTCTTTGCACATCTACTGTGCAAGTGGAGTTTTGTGTCTGCACATGTGACTTGCACAAGAATTGCATACTTTGTGTGAAGAATTGTGCATTTGCACAAAGAAATTGCTAGTGTTCACATGCGTTTGCAGACTTGATCTTGGCTCACTTCCTGACCAGGACTGAGCATGGAAAAGCAGTCCAGCAGGTAAAAAAGAGCTGGAATCTAACCTGATCTCTGCATCCCTACTCAGCATGTTAGGGTCTTTGTTTTATTTATGATTAGTTTAAAAAGACTGCATTGATTTTCCTTTCTCTATATGAAGTGGAAAAATTACTTTGTCTTAAGTGCCTGAAGCCATTTTTGAAATCTGTGTTTTCATTGTAGGTTATTATTGTAAGTGTGCAGCTTTATTTATGGGCACATATTGTGAATTAAGTGTCAATCCATGTGCTTCCAACCCTTGCCTTTATGGTGGCACTTGCATTCCTGTGAATGATGATTTTGTCTGCCAGTGCAGAGGATTATACACAGGTCAAAGGTATGACTTCTTTGCTAACTATTTAACATCTATTTTCATCTGCAGTATCTTTTTCAAAGTAAACTTCATGTATTTCCTCAGTGGTTGTTCACTTTGTTAATGCATTCTTTGAGTGAATTTCAGACCTAACATTTTAAAAGAGTGAATGGTGAGTAAGGACAGATGTGGGTGATTAAACAGATGCTTTCATGCACATGCTTTAGAAAGCAAAGATTGTTTATTGAGTATGCTTGTTACAGGCAGATTCATCCTGCATAATTTGTGACGAGGCCCTTTTTGCGCTACAACTTCATATCTATTTAGGGGACCTGGTTCTGTGGGTCTTTGAGCATATTCAAAATTCCTAGCCAGACTTTGATGGTTATCATCAAGACACATGCTGTTTATTATGCAGAAAATAATGGATATTTTTTCATCCTTTCCCAGGTGTCAGATTGGTCCATATTGCAAAGACAATCCATGCAAAAACAGTGGCAAGTGTATTGATAGCTTAGACGGACCTGTTTGTGAATGTGAGGGTGGCTTTCATGGAGAGAGGTTAGTAGCTTTGCACAGTTCATAATTTAACCGAGATTAACATTGCAGCAGAGGGAATAAAATCCATCTGAGAGGGTGGAAGAATTTGGTGTGAAATATTTGACTTGAAATATTACAGCCTGTACACTGTTAAAATACAAACCTAGATCTATCATGGAAGGCTGTGGTGTAAATGGGAGTATGGAATTCTTCCTTGAATTGCAGAGTATTCAGATCAGTGGTGTCCATTGGAATTTATCTCATGAAATTGAAATGATGCTAACCAGATTGGATTCAAGGGTATGCATACTCCATCCGGCATTGCTTCTAGTACTCTTAAGGACACTGAACCTGGAAAACGTGTTTTTTACTATCTTTTTACTCTAGGTATATTCTGTATTTAAAAGTTCCAGCATAGGAGGTATGAATGATAAATACTTGCATACAGGGCCATGAATTTCAGCTGGTTTACAGGGTTGTTTTTCTTCTTCTTCATTTTACAATGCCAGAACATTAAGTCTTCAGAAATACTGTTTTAACAGAGCATACTGCAAGACAAATAAAGTGATTAATTCTTTAAGGTCTCTCTCTTTCATGCCATCAGGAAGGGGATTTGTACTTAATTAACATTCTGTATTTCATGGGGAAGAACACAGACTCTCTAGCATTACAGTCTTTTTGTTTACATTTCTAAATTGATAAACACTAACATTCTGAACAGAAACCAAAGGGGTAATTTTGACCTGGCTCTTTTTATCTGGATAGCATTTCTGTAGATGATTTGTCATAGCATTTTCCATAGATTTTTTTTTCAAACTTGTGGCTTGTTTCTTTTTCCTGTCACACACACACACACACACACACACAGAATTTCCCTGTCTCTGTATATACTGGTGCATGCTACTCATAGAGTTGTTGTTAGGCTTTTTAAAGGGGCCATTATGCGCTCCATGATAAGGAATGGAATTGGCACCCGACAATCCAGATTCCAAATGAAAATACTTCACAGTTTACAATGTGCAAAAATTATGTGTGCCAATGTTATAAATATTGCACCCTCTCACATTTATGAACTTGTGATTGGGTCACCTAGAACCAGTAATCCCTCAACTTTGTATGTCTTTGCAGGTGCTTGACCGATGTTGATGAATGCATGGAAAACCCATGCCAAAATGGTGCTCTCTGTGAAAATACATACGGTGCATACCACTGCAACTGTAGCCATGGATTTGGAGGAAAACATTGTGCTGAGGTTCTGAATACATATGTTTCAACCTCATGGAACATTAGCTTAGGAGAAGTCCTTGGCATTATCTTTTTCCTAGTGGGAGTCTTCGTGCTGGTTGGGTTTTTTGTTTTCTGCCGCCAAGTAATCCGACGGAAGAGGAAACGCCAGCCAGAACCGGAAGACAAACATCTGGGAACGACAACAGCTTTCTTGCAGAGACCATACTTTGATTCAAAACTGAATAAGAACATTTATTCTGACATTCCACCCCAGGTGCCTGTTCGCCCCATTTCATATACTCCAAGCATTCCAAGTGACTCCAGGAACAACCTGGACCGGAATTCTTTTGAGGGTTCTACAATTCCAGAGCATCCAGAGTTCACCACTTTTAATCCAGATTCTGTGCATGGCCATCGGAAAGCAGTGGCTGTCTGCAGTGTAGCCCCCAATTTACCTCCCCCACCTCCATCCAATTCACCATCAGATAGTGACTCAATACAGAAGCCCAGCTGGGACTTTGATTATGACAGTAAGCAACACCCTCTTTTTGTCTTAGAAATACTTTGATGGTTGGATGCCAAGATACTCATTTAGGAAGAGGTGGTGTGCATATAAAATAAGATGTCACTGGTAGTCATTTAGCATTCAATCTGAGTAACAAATAACAAGGTTTTCTTTCATCTGTAATATTCCTCATAAATAATAATTCCCTCTCGTAGTGAACTTGGGTGATGGAGGGCTTATCAGTTGGGAAGTGAAATGGAAATGAAAGCAAGGGAATGATTTCTGCATGCTCATAAAACTCCCTAGGCATGCAAAGATGTAGAAGTTTGTACATTTTTTAAAAAAATGTAATATGTTCCCAAATAGAGGACCCATAGAGACCCATGATCTTCCAAGGTTCACCATGTAGCAATATACAATTCTATAGTTACCAATTTCATTCTCCAGAGAGGGAACTTCCAGATTATCATTGATTTCCTGCTTCAGATGCTTTATTTTGGAAGAAGGGACACACTTCTGCCTAGCCACAACTACACTAAAAATCATGAAATTTATTGCTTTTAACAGGCAGCTTTTATTTGTGATATGGTAGTTTAAAAAAAAACGAGTCTAAAGGCACCAGAAGCTTATCATACTGCAAGTCTATTAATTTAATACATGGTTGAGAATTTGAATGCCAGGGTGTCAAGCTGAGAATTTGAATGCTGGAGTGTCAGTAACAGTGGCAATGGCTTCCTTCCGCCTCACCCCATTCAGCTCAGCTTTGGGACTGGCAGTCACATCCAAACCCTAGTCCTTTAGTGCAACCTAGCACAACAGGGGAGACCCCTTTCCTCCTCGTCTCCCCGCATCTGCAGACAAGGGCAGCACTCCAGGCTTCTTGTCCAGGCTGCCTGGAGGCCCGAAGAAGCATGCATAGTTGGTGCAACACACAACATTTCTTGAAGCTTTCACTTGCCTGATTAATCAAACTGAAGCATTTCTATTTCTAGTATCTTTCAAGTGGCTGCGTATACTCTGCTTCTCCCGTTCACTGTTTGGCTTTTCTTCTTTTAGCTAAAGTTGTAGATCTTGATTCCTGCCTTTCAAAGAAGCCCCTTGAAGAAAAAGTTTCTCAGCCTTACAGTGCTAGAGAGAGCGTGTCTGAGGTCCAGTCGCTGAGCTCTTTCCAGTCGGAATCATGCGATGATAATGGTAGGTGGAAAGCCCTGCCCTTCGTTGCTGTTGTGTCTTATTGGTGCCTTGTGCTAATCTTAGCACAGATGAGAGCTAAGTAGTATCTTTGTGGATGTCATAGGCTACTTTGTAAAACGTTTCCAAATCATCATTAATGTTTAACATTTAATGTTTGTAAAATAGCCTTTACTGGGTTACAAAGGCTAATATTTGGAATAACATAGTGAGGCTTAAAAATGTCTAAAACTGGATTGCCGCTTTATTTGTTTCCTTTTCTTTTTCCTTGCTGCTGCCTCAGCTCCCATATGGATCAGAGCAGTACTGAGTGAAAGCAGAGTATGAGGGACTTGCTTGTAAGTCTGATTATACTAGTAATGAAGGAAGTTGTCCAACAGAGCTTTCATTGTAATTGTGTTGATATCTGGCTTTTGCCGTGATAAGGAGCAAATGTATGCCAAAACACTGAGTGACAAAGCGTTCCCTTTCATAGGATCCAATTCTATCCCCAGATGGAGGGAAGCATTCCAAAAGTGGCCCTGATCCATCATAAAAACAGCGAATTTGATATTTATCTGTACAGATTTAACCTTCAGTGTGTGATTATTCAGTCACTTTCTCAGTGCCCTTCCTGTTAATACTGTTAAAAGAAACTATTGGCTATGATTTCGAAATGCATATTGCTGATAGTTAAGATGTCCTGCCCACTCATTTCAGTGCATTAACATGTATGCAGTTTCAGCCTAAAACTTCCTTTTATTACTTAATGAAAAAGTAAGTGGTATTGATCACCAGCACTTTCAGTGAAGTGTGTGTGTATGTGTGTGCCCGTGTTAGTGGTTCTTAGTATGTGGTGAAAGAAATTTCCTTAAAAGCTGTAGAATAGAATTCATGTTTTGAAACATGTTTACTCTGAATGGCGCAGCCTTCATTATGCATCATTCTTTCCTTTGTGGCCACTTGAAAATTTCAGATGCGTTAGTCATGTGATAAGAAAGGAATGTCATGATAAATTGAAGGTCAGCGTTGAAAATGTTATGCAGATAGAAGCATGACTCTTCACTTATCTGGGCTCTCTGCTCAATTAATTCATTAACTGTATCTGGAAAAACTTAACCAACAATTTGTCAAGTTATTTCAAATCACCTTCTCTGCCCACAACTTGGCTTTCCGGCTGTCAGTTCTTCTAGGTTATCTGGGCTGCTCCTCCACCCACTTCCCTCTGTTCCACTTGTATACAACCCAGCCTATCATTCAGCTCTGTATTGAATCTTACTCCACTCGGTACTTAACCTCTGCGTGTCGCAGCTTCTCGCATTCTCTCCCACTTTTCTTCCCCAATCAAGTTTTGCCTCCAATCACATTATTGTCATGTCTGCTCGATCCCAAATCCAGCTATTCTGCAGTTCCTCTTTCCACGTAACTTCTGCCTTGCCCTGTGAAAACAACACAGAATTCTTCTATTCCCTACATCAGGGCTGGAAAACTTCAGAAAGCTCAGTGGATATTTGTATTCCTCAGACCTCCCCTATTCACCCACACATCCCCAGAGAGAGACAGAGAGTGAGTTTGGCGCAGCTTCAAACTCCAAAACCTCCTGGGCACTGACAGATCTCCAAAATTGTTGGTACTTCATAATAACTGCAGAATACTGAAAGGGGCCCTAATCAAAACAGCCATTTCAGATGCCCTTTTGTTTTAAATAAACATCTGCATTTATTGCTTGCAGTGGGGGGCAGCAGGGACTACATATAGCCCACCTCTTGGGAGGGTTTTTTGTATGCCCTTTTGTCACATCCCTGTGCCTTGGACCCTGCTCTGTCTAAACTTTCAGCTTGCCAGCCCTCATCACAAGCCTTGTTTAGGCGCCTTTTTCAACAGCACATGGCTGCCTCTTCTCTTGGGTCAGGGGGCAGAACCTCTTTCAACCTGATGGCCAAATTCCCTTTTAAATAAGATCTTTGGAGCCACCTTCTGGTGGTGCACTAGGCCAAAAGCAAACAGAGCCAGCCTCAATGCCATAAATAATGGCCAGGTCTTGTATTGCTCGTAGCTGAGCCTTTGGAGTTTAGAATGGAAGAAAACCTGCCCGAAAGCAAGGAAGAAAGGGAGGGGTGGGATCTTCTGGGAGGGTCATATTTGGTCCCTGGACCTGAGGTTCTGCACCCTAGTCCAACACCTTGCCTGCATAGAAACTAAGTTATCTGCCACCATTCTGTTTATTTCTCACACTAAAGGAAAAAACACAGGAGAGTTTTGGTGACTGCAAAAATATATGTGCATGTTTATCTTTGCAACACTTTTGAAGTCCTAATAACCTTTGTTATCTGTTCATGTGGATAGCACTGCCTGTAGATATTTTCATTGTATCCGTTACAATAGAGAGACAAAAATTTGGTTACTCTGGCATATTTCTGTCCAGTCTAAACACAGTATCAGTGAGGCCAGTGTAAAGAATACATATCTACAACCAGTTACAATGTTTTAAGTATTCTGTGTAATTGCTAGAGAATTGGTAAGCATTGTGTTGATTTTTGTTGACATTTTATATGCTGTTTCAAACTGCTGCTAATCATAGGTTTCTTTTTTTTAATTTGTTCCTCCCATACTTTTTTGCAAGCTTCCCTAGTGACTGTAATACACCTTGTCAATGCTGTTGTTGACTCGGTGGAAAAAGAAGGTATATAGTTTTCACTTTTATTTACTGCCTGGGCAGAACATTGCATGCTTTTGCCCTCTAGCATAAACTGGAGATAATGTTAGATGAGCATACAGACATAATTATTATTTGCCGTATTACTAGAATTGTGATGGGTGTGTACACTTCACACACTCATGAATGTAGGTATGTTAACATACTCCATGTTGTTCTGACAGTTTCCAAAGAGGCTGTCTCTGCTTAGTATGTCTGTATGTATGTACAAAGACCTTCTACCACCAACGTGGCATTACATTCAGGCATGTTAACAAAAGCATTGAGCGCAGGCCACAGGAAACAAGCTTTGATTGCACGTCACTGATGTGAATGAGTGCTAGTGAACAGCTGTGCTGTTGCAAAACTTTCATACAGGGCCATATGAGATTCCAGAATTCATCAGAAGTGTGCAGGTGACTTTGGGCATCTTCTTTCCTCCCAGCTACATTTTCCTATATATCAATGCACGTTGATAATGGCAACACACTTTCCCAATTAGAAGTGCTTCCAAAATTTCTGGAAAGTATCCAACAGGGAGTGATCATTTGGACAACAGGATTTTGGTGCTTCTAAAAAATAACCTAAAATCAGTGAAAACATTTGGTTCCAGAGTGGAGCTGACTTCTGCAAGCTCTGATGAGCACCCCCATTCACTAAACAAGTATTTCCAATTGTTTCAGCCCCACTGCTTAGGTGAATGCTCCCACGAGTACACAGGTGCTTCTTGAGTGTCACCCCCCCCCCCATCCAAAGCCCTTGGTTTTGCAGTCACCACCAAAATCAGCTGTCCCATCAAGTGCTGAAGCCCCTCCAACTGAGTAGCTTGCTTCTCCCAGCACCTCCTCACTGGGTCAAGGACTGGGCCTTGCACCTGCTCCCCATCTCCTCCTCAAAGCCCACCCTCCCCTTCCAAAGCAGACCGACGCTCATGCTCAGCCTAAGAAACTTCACTAGGCAGCCTTGAAGGAGCTTCAGAGGCTTCACCCTTCCTCCTCGCTCCTCTTCAGAATCCTCCAGGAACTCTTACTGAACACTTCTGCAGCATGTAACAGACTTGCCCAGTCCATATGCTGGCTCTCTGAGAACGTTTATGCTCACCTATCTAGCAGCCACAGCATTGCAGTGCTCATTTCTTCATAAATATTGAGTGCATGCCTAAACTTCTTCCCATTGCAGAAGTATCTCCGTATTCAAATGCACATTTATTGCTATCCTGTGCATGCATTAAGCAAGCTTGTTTATCCATTCTACTGAACACAAATTTACTCTCCTTGAATCAGTTTTTATGTATACAATTATCTCACAAGAATGTGATACGGCTGCAAAAAAGGCACATTCAATTTTGGGCTGCATTAGTAGAAATATTACTTCCAAATCACATGAAGTACTAGTTCCCCTCTGCTTAGCACTAGCAATGGCTCATAGTACCATGTCAAGTTTTGGGCAGCACAGTTTAAGAACAATGCAGACATACTGGAAGAAGTTCTGAAGTGGGCAACAGAGATGATCAAAAGACTGGAAACAAAGCCCTGTGAGGCGTGTTTAGCCTCAAGAAGAGAAGACTGAGATAGGTATTTGAAAGGTTGTTACACAGAGCAGGGCCAGGATCTTTTCTTGATCATCCCAGAGTGCAGGACATGGAATAATGGGCTGAAGTCACAGGAGCCCAGATTCTGGCTGAACATCAGGAAAAACTTCCAGACAATGGATCTACTTACCTGGGGAGGTGGTGGGCTTTTCCACACTGGGGCATGGGAAGCTGGACATCCATCAGTTAAGGATGTTCTAACTTCCTGCAGTGAGCTGGGCCCAATGGCCCTCTTGGCCCCTTCCAGTTCTACTGTTCAGTGATTGTTATTTAATTACATTAGTAGGCAGGAAGAGAAAACCAGTTATATTGTGACATCTACCGTATTTTTCACTCTATAAGACTTACCTGACCATAAGACGCACCTAGTTTTTAGAGGAGGAAAACAAGAAAAAAATATTCTGAATCAAAATGGTTTACTAAACTATTTAATAAACTATAACAGAATACAGTAATACCATATTTCAACCTTGTAAAGTGAACAGCAGTCAACAGTGGCATTAAGAACCATCATCACTGTCATTAACAAAAGAGAGACTTTAAAGTTCAAGTACTCTTCTAGTTTTCATTGAACCCTTAGAACTCATCATCACTAGAGTCAGAATTTATGAAGCTCTGATGCTCACAATCACTGACATCACTTTCTTAGTAGTGGAATTATTGAAGGAATCCACAATCTACACCAGTTATACAAGAGCTGCTGCAGACAATTCAATAACAAATCTAAAAAAGCCAGTAATGTCCACGCTGCCCTACTAGTAAATAATAGAAAAAACTTCTGACAAAAAATGAGATATTGTATGGTAAATCAGACACACAGCAGACTAAGTAGCCTTTGAAGGTAATGCTGTTCAAATATCCACTGATCCTAAAAAAAATGTGTCTGATCAACTAACAGATAACTGATCCATGGAAAGCTTCCTGATAATCACAGGCACATTCCCCATCACTTCCCCATGGACTTCATTAAAAGACGGGTTGCCATTTGAAAACACACACCGACCTGTGATTAGCAGCTCTCATCTGCGCTGGAGGAGTGGGTGGAACAGGGTGCTCCGAGCGCGTGCCGGCCAGGTGGTGCCACGCGGGGCCGGCAGCGTGCCAGCGGTCGTCTTCCGGGCAGCGTGGCAGCAGCAGCAGGTCTTCCCGGGCAGTGGGGGTGAGCAGTTCCCAGGCGGTGGGGGTAAGCAGTCCATCTCTCCGTGCGGCCGGTGGGTTAAAGCCCGCGGCTTCTCCTCCTCCGCACCTCTCCCCCTGAGCGGCACAGCTCTCACCTGCGCCGGAGGGGGGGACGGAGTAGGGGGCACCAAGCGCGCACTGGCCAGGTGGTGCCACATGGTGCAGGCGGGTCGGCAGCATCCCAGGCGTCGGGCACACACACATTCATTTTATAAGACGCACAGACATTTCCCCTTAGTTTTGAGGGGGAAAAAAGTGCATCTTATAGAGCGAAAATTATGGTACTTACAATCATTTCAACTGTCCATGGGCGACTAACTAGCAGTCCAGAACTTGCCATTTTGCTCAATATCCTAGTAGTTGCCAGGGGTGGAAGTGTTTGACTTATGTGACTAAACCCTGTAAATAATCACTAATCATTGGGTTAGCGCATACACACACACGATACAGGCTATATCGTTACACTGGGCAGAGAAATTTCTAAAAGCTGTCATTCTGTTACCTTGAATGACAGCTTTATTTGTCACCATTGTGCTTCAGTATTCATGGTACCTGCTAGAGCAGGAGCGGATAGATTTCTTTGACACGAGAGAAAGACTGAAATAAGATGAGGATAAACAAGAAAAGAATATGCAGCTGTTTCAATTACACAAGCTTATGCTTGATTACAGGCTTAGCTACAGTAAAGCATTTGAATGAAGGTCAAGGTCATAATAATAAAGGGAGATGAAGATCTTTCCTGTATACTAATAGCAAACTTATTTTCTGTAAAGGGGAAGAACCAGCAGACTGAGGGAAATCCCAAGGTTCACACACACACACACACACACACACACACACACACACACAGAGGGAGCAAGCCAAAGGTACGTTGGGTGGGGCCACTCACTCTCCCTTTCATAAACAGACTCATGCATTCATACACATCCAGTGGTAGCAAGAGCAGGTAGGGTTGGGACGAACCCATTCAGAACTTCTTGTGTTCTGCCCAGTCCTACAAAGCAAGTTGAGCCAAGAGGAAGTTGCTGGTGGATTCCAGGTTGCACAACTAGTGGAAGCAGCTGCAGGGTGAGAAAGAGGGGAGCTGTAAGCAAATGCTGAGTTCACTGAGCGAGGCAGCGCATTGAGGGTTTCTTGCCCATGGGCTTCAGATTTACAGCCAGCGCTGTATGTTTCCACAATACATGGCAGTTCTCCTGTGCACCCATTCATTTATTCACTTTTTCCATACACACACACACACACACACACATTTTGATCGTGAATGAAATAGCACTCCCTGTACATGCAGCAGAAGCTTTCCACTGGCACCAGTGGAATGTCTTTGGAACGCCTCATTGCAATGCAGTCGGTGGGGGAATTAGGGAAGAGATCTCAACACGACAGAATTACAGCTTCACCAGTTTCCCCAAGCCTAATTCCCCATGGAGGGAACAGTACAAGGAGAAGGTGCTGCAGACTACTTGGAAGTTCCACCAGTTGCCACCCCTGTACAAAACAAAGCAAAGCCAAAACAACCCCCCTCAGTTTATTATAAATAGCATGTAATTTTCAAGTTAGCCATAAGGATGCAAAGCAGACATAGGCATTAAACAACTCGGACAAGACTCAAGAATCTGTATTCAGCCTTTTTGCTCCCTCAGGAAGTTACACTGGGTGGACGCCTTCTTTTCTTCCAAGCATTGCCATTGGCTGTAATCCAACTAATTTAACTTGACCAAGAACTGTATTTGTTGAGACGACAGGCCTCATCATAAATCTCCTTCAAAACTGAAAGGATTCGCAGAAGCAGTTTGCAATATGGCTTTTCAGTGGGGATGGGGCACCTAAAATACCAGATATCTAAAGTGCTTTAGCTTTAAACTACAGAGTCCCCCTCCATACTGCAGTAGATCAAGGCAAAGGCAGATTTGTGTGTCCTTGCGATCGCGTACATTCTTACTGTTTTTAAGCCATTGCAAATTTTTGAGAGATTTGATTCCTAACTGCACATATTTTCTTCCCTCTCTCATTTTGCCATCTAAAGAGTCTTTTGCTGTTCCTGACCTGAGCAATTCAAGAGGTGACTTCTGCATGTAGTTGTTCAGTGATATTCACTTAAATGTCTCTGTCTATATTTGCTCCCTCAACACTAACTTGTCTTCAGTTGTTTGCTCAATGTGTTTATGCAGTAATTTCTCCCCATTTCATGGATGTTACACCTGATTGCAGTCCTGTACAGTTCTCCCTTTCTTACAAGCTATGAAAAAATTAAGAAGCTTGTTTGTAACATAGCAATGTTTCACCACTCAAACTGGTAGTAGTTCTGTTTCCAGCACAACCATAGTGCATTTGTTCTACAACACAAAGCAATTTTGCAACTTGTGCATGATTACTTTAATACCTTTGGAAATTTTGTTTTCACATTTGAATGCTTGAATGTCTTTACTAATAGTCTTTTTGAATTTGGAAAAAAGTGATTATATTTTGATAGGATACTTTTGTAAGATTAACTGCAGAGCTGATGGGCAGTTATTATTAACTGACTTTAATATTAAACCAATAAAGATTTGGGATAGTACAGCAATTAGAGAAGTTTAAACTTTTTAGCTTCAATCCAGAGAAATTTGTACTTTAAAACTAGAGATGGGCAGATTAGTCCATTTCCGTGTCAGCTTTTCATGTTGTTGAGTCTCTTCCATCCCATTTCCATATCAGTATGAATTTTGGAGCAACACTTGAAAATTCACATTTAATTGGATACATTTCCCCTAAAGAGTATGTTTTTGTAACAAAACTTTGACAGAGAACTATGCTGCAAAATTCTGAGAAGTGTGCAGGCTAAAAGATAGCTCTGTTACAAACCTCAGATAGATATTGTGAATTAGAGCTGCTTAAAAATGCAGTCCCAATTAAGTCTTTCCACCTCCTTATTTAAAACACACTGAAATCGGCTGGATTAGTTTATCACTGTTATTTTAGTTCCATTAATTTTAATGGGCTAATCCTACAAATCTGGAGATTCTTACTTGGAAATAAATATAGTTTATTTCAATGACAATTTTCTTCAAGTAAACAGGGATTGAATCAGGCCACACCTGATTTGCTTAAAAGTTTACATTTGGTTCAAAGGAACGAGTTGCCCTGTGCCAGCTATTTTAGTGGAACCACAGAAGCTGTTAGACATTTTTCATTTTACACAAAGAATGATTTCCTGCCATCATGCATCAGCTCATTCCTTTGGTGAACATGAGCTCCTCTCAATTGAGCGTGAGGTACATTGAAACTGTAGCTAGTCCAGACTTGGATAATATAAACTATGTACTGCATGGCACACTGTGGACTTGTGATTGTAACGTTGAATGTTTTTGTTAACCTTGCGGGGAATTGGCTCCAATTATGCTTATGCTCTAATCACTGGCGGTTGTGTGGTCTTCAGTGCAGCGCATTGGTTTTTTCAGTGTTGGGAGTCTCCCCAGGAGAAGATGCTGATGCCCATTTTTGTTTGTATCTCTCTTCACCTGCAGCCTATCACTGGGATACCTCTGACTGGATGCCAAATGTCCAACTGCCTGGCATACAGGAGTATCCAAATTACGAGATGGTTGAAGAGCCAGCACCTTTGTACACAGATCCAAATTCCATTGATGCAGACTACTACCCTGGAGGTTACGACATTGAAAGTGACTTCCCACCTCCGCCGGATGACTTCCCAGTGCCTGACGACCTTCCACCGTTACCACCCGCCTACAGCGATCAGTTTGACTCCATACAGCAATCTAGGGACATGCCTGCTGTAGGTAGTTTGGGATCTTCATCGAGGAGCAGGCAGAGGTTCAATCTCAACCAGTACCTTCCACATCACTATGCTTCAGACATGTCAGAACCTCAGAACACAACCAACGACGTCTCCAGTACGTACAGAGAACCCTTTGCTCCTTACACTGTAGGGTACACTAGAGACTTTGAAGCACCCCCTGTAGACAACATGTCCATGTCTGTATACGCTTCCACGGCTTCGTGCTCTGATGTGTCGGCATGCTGTGAAATGGAGTCTGAGGTCATGATGAGTGACTATGAGAGTGGAGATGATGGACACTTCGAAGATGTGATTATTCCCCCGCTTGATCCTCAGCAGCACACACAAGTCTGACACTCTTCCTCAACAAAAGTGCCTGGATGTTAATGAACTAAAAAAAAAAAAAAAAAAAGATTTTACAAAAATCCCGGAGAGCTTATTTTTTTTCTTGGCAGCAGTGCTTGAGCGCTTTTGTTTCAGTGAGCGAAAACTGGCATGGCTGCACTCATCATGCAGCTCATTTCAACATATTAACCGATTTTCCATTTTCCTGACCTCTTGCAGTTTGGCTTGTCACAGGTCACCCATTGGCTGTGCCATTCCCAGAAGTGTTTTTTGTACTTCCATTGTCTATGTTAAAGAAATAAAGCAAAAACGCATACCGTTTCATCATTTTAGCATGATAAATGTATTTATATCGTTCGAAAGCAAATTGTTTTTTCTTATCTCTTTTTTTGTAAATGTTATGTACAGTTTTGATTTCAATAATTTTAACTAGATTTTTGTAGATAATTTCCAAATTTGATTTCCACTTATTTTAGTGGTGTTTAGTGTGCCATTAAACGAATACCCCCTGGGTTTTATGACATTCAGGAATTCAGCATATTTTTGTTTTGTCCTCACAAAAGTTTTAAATGTCATTTAATCATTCATTTCAAAGTGTACATAATTTCCAGTTGTAAAAGATACCAGATTTTTTTAAAGCAAGAAACATGGCAGTGTCTTTCATGGGTTTCTGTACTCTAGAACAGTATACATTTTTCCTTTCTTGAAAAGTGTTTTGGGGGCCCGCTGCATACCTGTTTAGAACCAAAACCATCTTGGCACAGTTTTTATAGTGTCTGTATATTTGTGATGCAATGGTCTTGTAAAGGTTTTTACTGAAATCTACCATTAGCCAGTCTTTCTTACTGACAATAAATTATTAATAAAATACTTTAGCTTTGTTTTCTGTATCTCTCTCATATCTATTATACAGGTTTCATATGCAGATGTTGTGGAAATCAGTGTGACATATGACCACTAGGTGGCACTATGTATCTACATAATTGTTCAAAATAAATCACAGTACAAGGAATACATGAATACTATACTTGAAGAATAGCACATAATATCAGGAATTTTGGGGGCTTTTGTTCTGGTGCCAGCTCATGCTTTTGTGATTTGCTTTATGCTCCCCTCCTGCCACTGAGGGATAGCTGTATGCATCTGTTACTTAGAAAATCACCAAGATATTTGTTAATTGTAATGATTCCTGGAATCCTAACTTTCTTTCAATTGCAGCTAATGCTTTTCATTTGGTTTTAATTTATTTAGTTCTTTTGATGCAGTTCTGATACTAGAAGATGCCAGATCTCATTGCAGCATTAAAATTCAGTGAAAATTTAATTGTACAGACTTATCATTCATATAATGATATTTATTTAAAGCTTTTATAGAGCGTCCCTTTACTGGCATCTTGGGATGGTTTACAACAAGCATGTAATGGGGTCAGGCACAAGACATGGCACCCAAGCAAAGATGTGTTCAGGTGTCAGGATGGAATATACGAAGCATTTGCTGAGCTTACCACTCTTTTCCTATAGAAGCATCATACTAGTTTTGTACAGGAGTTGTTCCACTGTGTAATTCTAGGGAAGCATATAAATGAGTAGTTTTTACTAGGCATGTCAGAAAACTCAACAGATTCAGTTGAATTCTGATCCTTACCTACAGTGGAGTGGCCTTTCCAAAAGTCATACAGATCCTACAGACTTGTAGATCGGTTTTGGGGGATGGGATCAAGGTTTATGCTAAGTTGCATTAACATTCATTGACATTAACTAGAGTGCATCCATGCTACTGCACACTTGTGCAAATACACATTAACTAATGTATACTAATATGAATTGCAGCACATAGAATGTTTGAAGATCTGATTCCAAGCAGATGACAGAACCAGCCTGCAAAACACAGATGGAATGGATTTAGCCAAATGCATACATCCCTAGCTGTGATTTTATAAAGTTTCATCATTTAAAAGGAATGCAGGTGGCGCAGTGGTTTAAACTGCTGTGCTGCTGGGCTGGTTGATCGAAAGGTCACTGGTTCAAATCTGCACAACGGGGTGAGTTCCCGTTGCTCTGTCCCAGCTCCTGCCAACCTTGCAGTTCAAAAGCATGCAAATGCAAGTAGGTAAAAAGGTACCACTTTGGTGGGAAGGTAAACAGAATTCTGTTTATACATTTGATTTCCAAGGCCACATGCTGTGATAAGTTGCCTGCCCCCTATAATTAAAAATAAAGATAACTGAAAAACAATGTACATGATCCATTTGTAACACCCATGAAGTGCTTCACAAGTTGTTGTGAGAAAATGAGACAAGTCATAGCTCCTCTTTACCAACAGAAGACGAAGTCCATGTTGCATTCCAGGTTCTACTGCTTGGACCACAGTAGCCGGTTTCTTTGGCCAGGATTCAAAAACCATGGAACTCATCCTTTACAGAAAAGGATAATGGGACCCATCTTTCTTTAACAATGCAGCAGCCAGTCTGACTTCTTTTGAAACGGTGGGGTTTCAAGGCGTGGGACAGGAGATTATGATATTATGCTGCTTAAAATGATTAAGGAAACCAGGTGCTATGAGGGAACTCGGATGTGTTTTTGTGACACAATCAGCAGAGTAAAGTGCATTTAGGCCAATTGAATTCAATGGGCTTCACCATGCTTAACCCTGTTGGGTCACAATATTAGAGGATTACCTTTAAGGCATGTAAGCAAGGCATGTAATTATATAAGGCATGTAATCAACCTTGGGCATCCAAATTTTACATTTAATATAATTGCTAAATACATACAGTGGGTTTCAGATTCTGGATGTATGCAATGTTTCTTTTCTGAAAATCAGTGTTTCTGAAAGTTACTGGCCTGAGTGGTGAAGAAAAGCAAAGATTGTTGGTGATAAAGAATGAAGCTTACCTTTGTGGTTCAACGGGAAATTAAACGTTTTCAGGCATTTCCCTACCAGTGGAACCATTGAGAGTTACCGAAGCTCCACTCTAGGAAGTACAATCCATTAAAACAAGCTTCTAACAACATGTTAGAGCTGGTCACAGGAAACAGTTCTCGTAGTTCATTATTCTAAATAAGTTTGTATTGATTGCAGATAAGCCTAAATACTGTTTGATTATGTTTTGCTTCTGCAGTGATTACTATTTATTTAAAGTATATTCTCAATGTATATATTGACTTGGGAACTGCAAATAAAGCTCCATTTCTTAATATAATACCAGGTAAAGGCTTGTTACAGCCAGGTCCCTGAAGTGGATCCTGGATTCATCCATGGCATCTGAGGGTTCCTCTAGGGGTGCCCCATGAGATACCTATGGATTTATTTCAATTGACAGGGGGGGGGGAATGGTTAAAGATATGTACATGGATATGTCTAAAAAGTGAATTTATTTCATTTTTAAGGTTTTTTTTAATAGAGGTACCTGGATGTGTATGAAATGCTTGCATGTCTATAGCGGTCATACATAGGCTTCAACAAAAGTGGACCAAATAACCAAATAAATATATTCCCCCTTTCTCCCTTTGTGGAACTCCAGGTGGCTCCATGCGGTTCCCCTCCAAGCTCACACCAGCCCTAGACCTGCTTAGCATCAACCTGCTGGATGCCTTAATTTGCCTCCTTCAAACCATACTCTGTCCATTTGAAGTACGGTTGAGATTGAACCTACTGCAATCCATCCCTGTAGCATTCATGGACTTCCTCTTGTGCTCAGCCCAGCCTCAGAAAGAGAGTCAGGCTCCCAGAACGATGGTTGCACAAGCAGCGACCTTCTCCTGCTTCAGGTGCAGCACAAACAAAGGTCGTCCATGTGCCACGGAAGAGGGATGTTGATTACCCAGAAGGTGGGGTTCAGTTGCTGGTGAGTGCCCCACAAATGTTTGGCATGCATGCCAGAAACAGACTCAGGACTGAGAAAAAGAGGGCTGGAGCCCAGGGAATCCAATGGATTCCCACGCCCCGAACAGATTCCTCATCCTTAAAGTGAAATTGGTGTCTGCATGTAAGTTCTCCATTCAATATTGCTGCTAGATGTTGATCCTCCCAGTTTTGCATTATCAGGTTTTAGTTGTCGAAAGGGTTCAAAAGGATCCATTTCCTCTTCCGCTTATTAATGTCTGTGAAACAGGCAAAGAATTTGAAAGAGCATGTATACTCATATATCAATGGATCTTAAAGACTGTTTTAGTACAACACTTAATAGTATAATAACATGCTCTGAAAAAGAAGCCACAGCTGGATGCTACCAAAACATGTGTTGAAACATTGGCCATATTGCATGACCAGCAGCAAGCCGATTAGACATGCCCTTCTTAAAGAGATGCTGTGCTGCCCAAGTGACATGAAACAAATGCTTTTGCTGAATAAGATGCAGCCTACAATCCATAGACAGGTAGATGCCAGAGCAGTGATTAGGCATTTTGTGATGCTGCCCTTAATAGCTTCTCAAATTCTCATGTGTATCCAGAAAGGTTAGGGATTGGTGCTTTATGTGTTTCTAAGACTGCATGGGTTACCACGAAGCCTATGATGAAGATGACGAGTGTCAAAGATGAGCATGACTTCAAACAATCAGTTGGATCCAGGCTGGAAGGAGCCATTCCGAATCACAGAATCAGGGAGGGAAGATTCCCTGATGGAAGAAGGGAAGCATAACCAGCACCATCAGGCCTTTTGCTGCTCCAAAAGCTCTCCCAGCCTCCCAGTGCTGCTTTTCAGGGGGCTGCAAGAGGAGAGAGAATTGTGAAGATCACCTCTCTATCCCCTTAGCAAGTGCTGAGTGCTACTCTGGATCTAATCATAGTTTCTGCATCTTCAAATCCTGAAAGTGTGTGGAGCCAGGGCAAGTTTTCCATATAGAGAGGTCTTCAAGACCTTCAGTTTTCGATCAAGTAAATTCTCATACGCATCACTTGCTCCTGACAAACTTGAAACCATGGAGTTTTGTCTGCGACTGAAAATTATTCATTAAGAAAGCAATCCTAAGTAACTAGGATAGTGTCCTGGGTGCCATAGAATTGCTCAGAAAACCCTGTCTCTGAGGTTGAGACAGTGCTCCAGCCCTGAATGAGGGAAATGGAGATCTGACCCCCAAAGCTGCTCTCTCTTAGTTCGAATACAGGGAACATTTCTGGCCTCTTCCCTAAGATAGAAGATCAACCTTAGGGAGAAAAGGGGCAGGGAGGGGAAGAGACTAGGGAGGCCAGATTAGGAAATACCCTGAGCTTCCTCAGCCTGTTTCCTTCCCCCTCCAAAGTGGCCTCACTAGGCAGGTCAAAAAGCTTGTTCAGTGAAAATTACCAGTGATGAAAGATGGACAGACCAAGATCACCTCCACTGCTTTTCCCACCTTGCTTGGAAACCTCGAGTTTGATAGCTTCCAAGTGGTGAGCTTGCAATCACAGAAGCCACACAAGCCCTAGTCTCTGTCTGCTCAACCTTTGCTCTGCCAGATCGCCACCTGTTTTATTCCACCACCACCACCACCACCACCCCCCCCCAGCTGCCCCACCATGGTATCCTGGAGCAGACCGTTTTGTGCCGACAAAGGAAAAATCAGTTTCTCTGGGTTGCTTTTGGTGAAGCGGGTAATGAGCACAAGATGCTCCTCGCAAAATAACTGGACACAATGTAGGTTAGTTTAAATGTCATAATTAACCAGTGATAGTATTATCGGTCCCTTTGGCTGGAAATGATGTTAAGTGGCAGTCTGGCACACCTGGAGGCTATCAGGCTGTCAAAGGCTCATCTCTGCAACCATGCAAATGCAAGCTGGCACTAAATAAGAACCAAGAGTAAAAGGTGTATTCTTCCAAAGCAATCCTATCTTTTACATCCTAAACCATTTAAGTTTCCTCTGAGATGATAGGACATTTAAAAGGAAAAATGGTTTGAT